AAGATCAAGGGCGTGCCCAAGAAGGCGGTGACCAACGTCCGGCATCTCGAGTACAGGGAGGTGCTGGAGGAAGGCAGCGAGCGCAGGGCGACCTTCGGGCAGCTGCGCAGCCGCGCACGCGAGATCGCCGTGGAGACCGTCGAGAAGGAGTCCCTCTCGCCCTTCAACGACAAGGTCTACGGCCTCGATGCTCACAACTCGCGCCCGCTGGGACACTGGCCTGGAGCAGCTGCCAATGCTGGGCGCTTACGCTCCGCTCGGCTCCGTGCCCTTCAACCTCGTGATGGAGTTCCTCGTGGGGCCCCCGCCTCTGGGGCCCGCTCCGACACTGCCGCTGCGGCTGAGCCGATGGCGTAGACTCCGAAAAAAAAGATCCCACTCTCGTTTTCTCGCTTTCTCGCCTTCTCGCTTTCTCGATAATACTTATTCGATCCGCCGCAGCTGCTCAAGATGACTTCCTCGATGGCCTTCCGATGCGTGCAGGCATGGCTTCTGGAGAAGCGCGCTGCGTGGGTGGGCGAGGACACTCCCAGCCTTGCGGCTGCTCTGATGGCCCAGCGGCCTCCCATGCGGCCTCGCGAGGACGCACTGCTTGAGGCCGAGCGTCTGCACCACCAGCGTCTCATCGAGCACCTCTATGAGGAGCAAGAGAGGCGCTTGCAACTCCCAGACAAAGCAGGCCGCGTCCGTCCCCCCAGGAGGAGGTTTCCTCTTAGATGTCTTCGCAGGAATACACGCACCGATCTCGGCGGCCGCCGACAGACACGGCTTTGCACGCTTCGAGGATCTCGACGCCGACGCAGAACACGACATCCTTGACGACGCCTGGTTCGAACTGCTGCTGCGCATTTGCTGGTCAGGCATCGTGAACATGTTAACCTTAGCTCCGCCGTGTAAGGAGCATAGTAGACTTAAACTCCGCCCCGACGGCCCAAAGCCCCACTTGCATTCAGGGCGTGCCTAACTTGTCTCCCGAAGAAAAATCACGGGTAGCGCAAAGCCGGGAAATTCACAGAAGAGGCAGAGAACTCTTCAAAGCGGTAGCCACGCAGTGCGGAGTAGCAATCCTCGAGCAGCCGGCAGCTTTGCGCCGCCCTTGCTCGCATCACCAACTGACATTGATTGTCATTTTCTTTGCAGCTATCTCAGCACCCATTTCCTGGAAAAAAGTGCAATTCCAAAACTGCCTAGTTTGGTGTGGATGGTCCATCGATTTCCACCAAGAGACCATCGAACTCACACCGCTCGAGACTCGTAAGCTTAAAGGGCAGTTGCAGGCCCTGCTCCGATCCAAGAGAACTAAGAGGAAACTCTTAGAGCAAGTGCTGGGGCTGCTCATCTGGGCAGATCTGCGTTCGCCACCAGGGTGCATGATCTCCGTGAACGCACGCCTGTGGCCTGCCTTCGTACGCACCCCCTCCGACTTGCCTCGCGTAGTGCCCAGTCACAAGACGGCTTGGGTGCGCGTAGCAGACCCCCGCTTGTCCAAGGCAAGCGAAGCCAACGTTGAGTGGCTGTTACAATGCTTTCAAGCAGATTTAGCATGCTCACTGAAAAGTAAGCGTTCCTGGCATGCAAAGCAGCCGCAGACGCCTGTGCTGAAGGCACCAAAGTGGGCATAGGCGGCTGGTTCATCTCCAGCCTGCACGGGCCGCCGAAGGCTAGACAGTGCGCGGCATATGTTCGCCCTCCGGCACAGACAACACCGCCTCCGAAGCCGGAGTTAATAAGCTGTTTGCCGCAGCATGGCCGTTGCAAATCTTTGTGCAGCTAGTTGCCGCATGGGCATACAAGCACAAATGGTCAGCAAATGGTCAGTGATGGCCTCGCACATTCCAGGCCAACACAACGTGTGGGCTGATCAACTCAGCCGCGGGAACACATCCGCCTTTGACAGCAAGCCGCATGCTAGATTTAGGTTTAGCCCGCATGACTTCTGGCCTCATAAATCCGCGCTGTCTTTGCACCCAGCCGACGCACCCTGGGGCGATAGATTAGGCCGTTTGCTTGGAACCCTGAAGTGGGGGCATTTGAGCAGGCTCCGCATGGGGGTGCAGGCACAGTGAAGGGACACGCATTGTTTCCTCCTGCACCTCCAAGCCTGGACTTCCAAGCAACTCCTCATAAAGAAAAAGAACCGAGCGCACCTTTTGTCGGTCGTTCTCTTTTGTCTTTTGATGCATGTTCCCTTACGTCTTGAAGCGGTGATCAAGATTCTAACGTTTGGGGGTTTCCTTTTCCCTTATGTTTTAATCTTGATCGAATCTTCGGACGCGTTGCCGTTTTTCTGCTTCAAGGTTCTTAAGGGTCATGCCTTGAGGGTCTATCCCTTTTTTGCGCCCACCCACCCACCCTTGCGCACCTAAGGTGGAAGCGTCCTGCGCCAGGCTCGCATGCTTTGCTTAGCCTCTGCATGTGACAACACGCGTGCAATAATCAGGATAGAACGCAGCTGCCCGCCTGGCATCCCGCTTCCTGCATGGGTCTGACAAGACGCAAGACCTTTAATTGGTCAGATGATCGAGGACGCTTACCTCATCATCACCTACAAGTTGCACGCGTTGCATCTTGTTGCATTTCAATGCCACCCTTTTGTATTTCACACCCCAAGGGTAACACACCCTGTGAAAGGTTGAACACGCGTTGTTAACCTGGGGGCATTTGAGCAGGCTCCGCGTGGGGGTGCAGGCGCAGGGAAAGGACACGCATTGTCTTTCCTCCTGCACCTCCGAGCCTGGACTTCCAAGCAACTCCTCATAAAGAAAAAGAACCGAGCGCGCCTTTTGTCGGTCGTTCTCTTTTGTCTTTTGATGCGTTACGTCTTGAAGCAATGATCAAGATTCTAACACATGAGTAGAACAATTGGAAGCATGAATCTGGAACTCCCCAAAGCCAAAAAGCATCCTTCCTCTGAAGAATAATTAGAACAGCTTAAACAATGCGAATAAAGTGATGTGGATTTCCTGAAAAGGCACGCGCCCCTGTTTGAACAGTTAGGATAACCCGAGTGGCTAGAAAAACAAAGTGCGTTTTTTGGCCTGTGTTGTTTATATACTAATTCGGTAGACTCATTTTAATAATTAGAACAGATACACACGATTGACGCGTACTTCCCGCAAAGGCACCCACCCCTGTGGGAACAATAAGTGAAATGATTGGAATAATGAGAAGCACAAGGCGATTGTTTAATTGATTCAAGCTTTAGCATACAAAAAGCAACAAATACGGCTACGTGTCTTCGTCATATTGTATATATTTTAACTAGTTGGAGCCGCTCCAAGACTTCAATTGATCTAAACACATCTGCCATTTCCCCAAGGGCCACTCGGGACAAATTAGAGTAACGAGAATGGTTCTGACACTTGTGTATTGCAAACATGAGTCTTGAATTCCACAATAATTGGTGTAATTGGACAAATCAACCGTAGAATGATTAGAGCAGACACTCAGTCTGGATTTCCTCAAAGGGTGCCCGTCCCTTTGGAATACTTAGAATGATAATATAAGGAATCATTAGACGAGTTAACACAATTGCATCTGGAATTCCCCAAAAGGCACCAGTCCCTTTCAGAACCATGAGTAATAGGGAACTGTGTTCTAATTACGCTACTTATCCAAGTTCTTAGCATAAGTAGATCAACCTAGCAACAATGAATTGGTTCCAAGGCACGCGTCCCTTTGGGAATAATTAGTATAACCCGAATAATCAGAAGAGTGTAGCCAGGAAATCCACGAAAGAACCCAACCCATTTTGAATAAATCGAAGAATTAGGCTAGTTAGAACAATCATTGTAATTAGACAGTGAGTCTGGATTTCCCCAGAAGGCACCCGTCCCTTTGGGAATACATGTTAGGATAAACATGGGAAGTAGAATGATTAGCTCAAAATGAATCTGGACATTCCCAACAAGGCGTCTGGCCACTGAAAAACAGAATGATCGAATTGTGAGAATGCTTAAAATGATTAGAACAAGCATGAGTGTTGCATTTCCCAAAAGGAAGCCCTCGCTTTGGGAATAAAATAAGATAAGATAGTAGGTGCTAAAAGCAGAATAGTTAGAGCAAGCATGGATCTGAAATTTTGCCAAAGGGCTCCAGTCCCTTGTGGGAACAAAACAATTAGAATAGCTGCGCAAAAACGGAAATTGCATTGAAGATCCAAAGCACGCCCGTCCATTCTGGCATTATTGGAAGAATTAGAAACTTAAAATAATTGGATTTGGCATTCCTCAACAGTCACCCGCCTCTGTAGAAGTATATGGAGTGATTCGAATAATTAAAACAACAAGAGGCGTGCGGGTCATGTGAGCCACGCGCGCGCGCCACTTTATACGTGGTCTACCCTTTCACGGGGGGGGTTTGGAGGAGCCGAAAATTCAGGAGGGGAGGAACGCAAACCCCGAAAAGGAGAACGGCAGGTTGGCCACACTCCGAGTTGTTTGGGACGAACACGGGATGGCGAAACGAGGAAAGGTAGCTCGTCGGGGCACCATTTGGTGTGCTCAAGGTTTGATGACGCTCCGGGCTGCTGTTTTTTTTTGGGGAGGCTGTTTGGCGTGTTCGAGGTGCTGCGGTGGTTGCTAGTGGTGTTGTTTGTCAAAGTGCTGTGCTGCGGTTACTGGTGGTGTTTGTTTCATCAAGGTGTGCTGGTCAGGGGGCTGTTGTGTGTGCTGGTCAGGGTGCTTTTTGGTGCACTCAAGGTGGCGGTGCTTGGTTGGCGATGCAGGCAGGGCACTGGTCAGGGTGCTGTTGCAATCTCCGATGCTATTTGGGGTCTATGCTGGTGTATTTTTGAAAGGACCATATTGTGAAAGAAACCAACCATTCAATTTGTTCTTGAAAACAGGTTCCATATTGTTGTGCCGTTTTCAACTTCGGTTTGAAAGGCCTGATAGGTCAGTTGGGAAGCACATCAATCGATGGGGGTGGCCAACAACATCTGAAGATCCTACTTGTACACAACCTTCAGGGCCAAACTGATGTGATCTCACATTTTGCAGCCGTAGACCAAGTCAAACACGTTTCGGCCAATTTTCAATCCAACAAGGCGCTATCATGGACGCTTGACACTTCAGCATCCATGCTGGACAACAAATACCGGCAAGAGACAAACCTTGACATTGGCATCGCGTTCATAGCAGTTTCTTCGTCGAACATTCCGCACGTGTCATGCCTGGGGCTATTGAACTTCTTATCGCCGCAGAAGCCGCACTTTCGGCGCCGTTGACATCACTCCGAGTTGCTGGGTCCAAGGTGCTTGCTTCATCAGCAGATGGAAAGCTTCTTATCTGGGAGCCAGCAGCAGAAGCAGCTTGCCCAAGCCAACAGAATGAAATGTTGCGCAAGGCCTTTGGTGTCGACAAAAACAACATGTTTGGAGCTGCTCATCATGCAATCATGGCATGTGTCCCAACCGTTTGTTTCGCTCAAGTAGTCGCAGTTTTCCATGAGATTGCAAACTTTGCTAGGCGCTCCGGTGGCTAAAGGCTGACTGCACCGGGGACTTTGCGACACACGCAGAGCTGGTCGCCGCAAATGCCAGCATGTTCGGGGCAAAAGGTTCAGATGAGGTTTTAGCCTTTAAGCAGCGCTGGCTGCAAGCGTCGTTGGTCAACTATGAGGTGGATGCAATTCTGGACGTGGATTTGGCGAACCGTGTGGTGGTGGCATCCTTCATGTGCCTCATTCCTGGCAAGGAGGGGCGTGGCACAGACGTCATGCAGTTCGACCAGGAGCTCAAGGTCTCAGGTGTTGCAGCCGTGCGCCATGCGCACGTCGCTTCATAAGGGTGGCATTGCTGGGCCTGGATTTGTGTCCTGTCTTGATTTCAGTGGAAGACACCAGACACAAATCCAGGGGAACAGGGCAGCTTTGTTAGGCTGCATGCTTACGCTGGAGTGTGGCACATGGAAAATGTGTCATGGTGTCCGCGGGTTAAGACTCCTGCATTCACCTAGCTTGGACACCCATGAACTGAAGCCGAGCCTGCTGTGTGTCAATTCCTTGTGTCCCTGGCAAACGAAACGGACACTCTTTGGGCGGTTGGAGGCGCAAGGTTTGAGTTGCCACTTGCCAGCCGACCCTGCAGCCATTGGCATTAGGTAGTCTTCAGCTTTATTCATGTGGCAGTGGTTGTCAAAACCGTTTTGGGATAGGTGAATTCACCACCCAGTTTAGAACCTATTGTAGTGGTTGGATTGTATCGGATGTTCACTGGCGGTAAGGGATTTTAGCCATGTCATGCCATCCAAACACCAAGCCTGGTTTAGCATGACCACTCTGTGTGACTAGTCGTCCTTTCAGCTCCTTTGACACGTGGAATGAGCAACTTATCGCTTTGGGGGGCATGTGCAGGCGGGATCAGAACCGAGGATCATGCGTCGCTCATATGCTGCGACAGAGAAGCATGACCATGAGCCATGACACATTTTACTTTGGACGTGTTTGCTCAAGACCCGACGGAAGTGTGACCATGCCTTTAACAGCTTGCCAGATGGCTTTGCTTTTCATTTTGCTTCGAGTCGAAGGGCGAACGCTTTTGAAGTGAGCCATTTGGGCGACTTGTGGAGCTGCGATGCCGCTCGCATTGGAGGCTGAGCAAGCGTCTCTTCCTGGCTTTATCCCCGCCCAGAGTGCTGTGCTGGCCCTGGCGAAAGGCATGAGCTCTTTAGTCCTGGAGTGGTTGCTCGTATATCCATAAGCCTATGCCAGATGGTGGCCTCTTGTGGTGTCTACTCCATTTTCCCAGATTCGGATTAGAGATCCTCATCTTGAACTTGGTTGCTTCCCGAGGATCCTGCTGCTGATCATCTTCTTGCTGCACCTGAAAAGAGAGCCGTGGCCTCGATTCTCGACAGTCCCTCCATGAATCTGCCTGCCAGTTGTGTGATTGGTGCCGAGTCGGCCAGGCCCGGGAAAGTCACGCTATGGCTGGAGATGACGAGACTGGCGCTGCAGGCCTCTTGCGCGAGCACTGGTTCGACGTGATGTGGTGCACCACCCATTTTAGAACCCAATTTGGTGGGGATTGAATCGGATGTTCACTTGGGGGTACGATTTGGGTTTTGACCCATGGCCATGTCTCTGCGAGTCTTCAGGTTTCGGGTGCTCCGCTTGTGGCATGAGCTCATGTGAGCCACGAAACCGCCAGGCTGACCTCCTGCATGGTCTGTGTGCTGCGGCTTCGCTCGCCTTGGTGGCTGCTGCGTTTGGGGAGGCACGGTGATGGCTCGCAAGGAGTGCTTTCCCGCCGCCGTTCACCGAAACCTTTGGGAAGGCATGTGGGAGTGTCTTCTTTTTCCGAGCTTTAAGATGGCATTGTCCTTTTCGCCTTCCCTTAAAACCCCAAAGCCAAAGACCCACGGGGAGCGCTTCGCCAGCTTCTGCCGATGCCCAACCGCCTGTTGCTGGCCACATTCACCGCGGCGCTGGCGACCATCAGCCTGGGGCGCAGAGCTCCAGGGCTCCGAGCCGGTTTCGGGGGGTGGACGAACTCCATTTCGCACCACCTAAGAAACCCTAACATGATGATTCCCCTGCAAATACCAACAAAGAATGGTTTCAACCATGGTTTCAAAGCGGGGTTTGAACATGATTTTCGTCCATGAGTGAGGTTTTTGACATTCGAGAGACGATGGATTTGGGCTTTGGTGCGATGCGAGCATGCTATTGTCATGCCCTGTTGTTCTCTGGTTTCAGGTGTGATGTCTCTGAAAGGGCTGGGATGATGCATCAAAGTCGTGTCAGACTTGAAGAAGCAGTCATGACAGACAGTTTCTTCTGTGATATGCACAATTGGGACATGCACTTTTTGTCCAGACTCACTCGGTTCGCAGCATGCAACTCTGAGCCGTTTTTGCTAGGCTTGACGATGTGGCAGCTTGAATTGTCAGATGTTTACTCAAGTAGCTATCATTCCACAGGTCCTCGAGAGATTTGCACTTCGGCTGGAATCGCCGCATTGGATGGTCAAAACCTGCGGCTGCACGTTTCTCGCTAACGCGCAGTGCGCTCAAGAGCAACAGCACCTGCACCTAACCGATGCAAGAGCCAATTTAGACATGGCTGGTAGCATCTTTTGGTATGGACACAAGAGATGCTTGGATGGAGAGTGTGAAGGCCTTCCACGCGGACGACTTGGATTCCCTTCATCCTTTCATTGGAATCCATGTAGTTCCCATCCGATTCCTTGGTTTCTTTCTGATCTTTGTGGTTTGGCAGTCCCCTAGCTCACTCGTGTTCGGCTTCAAGGGATCAGAACACGGACCGCCAATTCACTCAAACGCGGAGAAAATCTCCTCGCAGCCATGGGAGCGCGGCTGGGGATCCATGAGCTCCTGCAGGTCGGAAGCCATTGGCGCCTGAGGGCGTATCAATTTTTAGGGGACCCCCCCCCTCTCCCAAAAAAAAAAGTGGTTTTGCTTTTGGTTTCCCTTCAAAACCACAGATCATGGGGTACCCTGACTCAAGAAAAGACTCCCACTTTTTCGTTTCAACTGGCTACACCCCATATCTTTCTTACTTGGGCAGTGCCATCGTTTCGTGAGTATCTTCTGGCACTTAACTATAGATGTGGCCGTTCTTCATTTTTTGCTTGTGCTGAAAGGGGGCAAGGTATGCCTAGTGGAAATTTGGGGTTATACCCCGGTGCCATGGTTTCAAAATGTCTCCTAAGTCCCCCAAGTAGGTGAGTCTTACTGACCACTTGCCTGACGCACCCACTTGAAGTAAATTGGCTTGGAGGACCCTGGGACCTGGGAGGGCGCGACGTGCAGCCGAAGGTGGGGCTCGCGCGTCTTGGGCTGGGGCTGGGTTGGGGCTCGCGCGAAGGGTACTGGTCGGACATCAAGAAGCGGGCCATTTGAAACACTCTCCACCGGACCAAAGGAAGAGCCATTTTCTGCTTAGCGCTTGACAAGCGCCAGGTGGATCATATAAGAGATTCTCTGCTGTTCGGCGAAGCTCTCAGGCCCATTTAAGACGCATACCCAATGCGGGTGGCAAGTTACATCTGTGCCCCTGAGCCGCACGAGTTGCAGGCCTCCGTTGCGACTGCGCACGTCCTTCGAGTTGCTTGGCCCACTGGAGGTCTGTTAGAACACCCGGTGCGGTTGCGGTCGTTTTTTGTTTTTGTTTTGTTTTTTGTTTTTGTTGAGAGGACCATGGTTTCTGATGGAAGTCGAGGAGACCACCATTTCTGGGGGGTCCCCTAATGTAACACGCGGCAGAAGCTTCCATGTTTGGGGCTGCGAGACGCGTGTGTCTATTCAAAGGATCCCTGGTGGAGGTTGGTCCAACTCTGGCTGGCGCAGATGTATCGCAACTGTTTTCGGTGGCTTGTCTTGACTGGACTGCAACTTAGGTCAGAGGTGGCACATGTGGTGCCTTGTCTGATCGGCTCAAAGCAAGGCTGTGGCTCAAAAAACCGGTACCAAAATGGAACCCTGGTAAGTGGAAACATGGACCAAACCTGCGTAACCCCCCTGTTCAATTTTGAGCCACACCCGGCAAGGTACGAGAAAATGAGGCGCTCCTCGTTTCGGCTTCCCTTCAAAACCAATCTTGGTCAGGGTTTCCGAGCCATCTCCCTTGTTGGAACCTCCAAAAGTGACGATCGTTTCAATGGACCACCCTCAAAACGATCAACATTTGAATGGAAACCACCAGTGGCCCCTGTTTGTACCAAAAAAGCAACGATTTGAAGATGAGGATGAGGTTAGCTGAAGAGTCTGCAAGTCACCTTCGCTGTTTTGCCTTGAAGTTAGGGCACCCCCGTGTTCCTTTTGGTTTCCCTTCAGTGAGGTTTGGCCAGAAAGAGTCAGACGCCTTCTGAGGAGCGGGAAGCTGGAAAGGATGTTGAGAAGCTCGAGGAGTTCCTGGGAGTAGCCTGGACGCAAGTCCGGTGAGCGTCGATCGTGTTCACCGCTCTCTCTGCTGATGGACAAAATCCGTTCGCACCACTTTGGACCCGTTTCTCAGGTGGTGCGAAATGGTTTTCGTCCATCCACAGTAGGTGTGAGAGTCCTGGTGGGTGTTGCTTATTCCTGTCTGGTGCCTATTTCTTTTTCCGGAGGATGGCATCGCTCCGCTAGGTAGGATATTCTTGACAGAGTTCCCCTACATTCTTCCGCTTTGAAATCAAGGGGGCCTTCCCAGTACCTTCGCCGAGGTAAAATCTGCTCCTGGCACTGGCAAGAAGCAGGACAAGAACATCGCCACGGTCAACCAGACTGCGGACCTAGGCTGGAGGGGAACGGCCAACCTCTATGTTTAAATCGCTGGCAACAAACACCGCCTCCTCTTGGCTTTACTGAGGGTTGGTTGGTTGGTTGGTTGGTTGGTTGGTTGGTTGGTTGGTTGGTTGGTTGGTTGGTTGGTTGGTTGGTTGGTTGGTTGGTGGGTTGGTCGGTTTGTCGGTTTGTCGGTTGGTTGGTTGCTTGGTTGCTTGGTTGCTTGGTTGCTTGGTTGGTTGCTTGGTTGCTTGGTTGCTTGGTTGGGTTGCTTGGCTGCTTGGTTGGTCGCTTGGCGGCTTGGTTGCTTGGTTGGTTGCTTGGTTGCTTGGTTGGGTTGCTTGGTTGCTTGGTTGGTGCCTTGGCGGCTTGGTTGCTTGGTTGGTCGCTTGGCGGCTTTGTTGCTTGGTTGGTTGGTGGCTTTGTTGCTTTGTTGCTTGCTTGTTTTAGCACACTCCGGGCTCGCAAGTTGTGTACCATGGTTGTGTCTTCCTTCGAGGATTTAACAGGGAACCTCCTTGGCAACCACCCAGCACCATCAAATTGACAAGGTTTGGATGCAAGCAACAGAAAGTTGGGATCTGGTCTTGACGTATCGTTTTCTCCGCTTCGCACACGCCTCTCTCGCAACAGTTGGGGCTGGCTACAGTGGCTGGTCGCGGAGTTGTTCTTCTAAGTAGACACAAAGCTTCAATTTGTGCACATTTGCGCGTGTGTTTGTGCGTGTGTTTGTGTGTGGCTCTTTGGGTTTCCCCCTTGCCGGCCAGAGCGATCTCCCTTGTCATTTGGGTGTGTTTGTTTTAGTGGAGCCCAACATGTTTGCCCTTGAGTCTTCCCCTTGAAACCATCCCCCCTAGAAACAATATATTTGAAAAAAACAACAAAACAAAAAACGCCTTCAAGACATCCCCCCACAACAAAAAGCAACAACAACACAAAAACAACAACAAGACCCCCCCCCACAAAAAAGAAAAAGAAGAAGAAGAAGAAGAAGAAGAAGAAGAAGAAGAAGAAGAAGAAGAAGAAGAAGAAGAAGAAGAAGAAGAAGAAGAAGAAGAAGAAGAAGAAGAAGAAGAAGAAGAAGAAGAAAACACAACAACAGATGAAACAAACAACGAAACAAAGGAACCCACAACACCAAAAACACACGCAAAGAAGAAGAAGCACAAGCACACCCTGACAGACAGCCCCGTCCGACAAATTGCGAGCCCAGGTCTGCAGATCATCCAAAGCTACAAGGAGGCCATCCCGGCGCAGCGGAAGGCGCTGGACCTGGCCATGGATGCGCGGAGCCTTCGGCAGAAGGGGCCTGGAGCGCCCAAATCGGTTTCCAGAAGGGGCCAGCTTAGGTGGTTCGGTTGGCTGGTTAGTGGGGGGTTTGGGCGATTGCCCTGAAGTGGGTGGTTTGGTTGGCTGGTTTTAAAGGGTTTGGGTGATTTCCAGTGATTTCTATTTTGGTAGGTGGTTCGGTTAGCTGGTTATAAGGGGGGGTTTGGGTGATTTCTGCAAGGCCTAGAGGACAGTTCGCGCACGTGTACAAGGTGTCCTCTTTTTAGAGAGCTCTATAGTGGAAGAAGCAAACGTCAGGTTTGGGTTGCCTCGGATTGGATGGGCTCCCGGCAGGCGTTTCGCGGGTGTTTGGATGAGCGTGAAGAGTCCCCGGGTTCCCCGCAGGGCAAGGTTTTTTTGGTGGCCCGAGATGCGATTTTTTTGTGTTTGGGAGCGGTTTTGTAGGTTTTCGGCCAGGCTCAGTTTGGACTGAGGATGGCTGAGCTGGCACCCCTCTGCTCCAAGTACATGTGGCTTGGCAAGTCGCCATTTTCCATGGAATTCTCCATCAAGGCTCGTTTTGAGCCCAGAAGCATGAGCAAGGAGCCAAGAGACCCCGGAGCCGGGGAGGGAGCTTCCCACTTGTTGGGCGTCCCATTTGAGAGGGGATCCGGATCACTTTTCCGGTTGAACAAGAATCCACCAGGTCCGTGGCCATTTTGAGACACATCTCTTCGAATGAGCCGATGCAATAACTTCACCCTGGGCCGACATTCATGGGGTTCTGGCCGACATTCATGGAGTGTTCAAACAAAAGGGGAAAGCCGAAGCCATCTTTTGTGCCCGCAGGGGTGCGCTATTTTGACCGAGCTTTTTTGGCTAGGTTTTAAAGGAACACCAAAAGGTCAAAATCGCTTTTGTTTGGGTGCAATCCTTCTTTTGACACCCACATGCACATGGGTTTGTCCTCTTTTGGAGGGTACCTAAAGCCAACTCCGAAGGGCTGGTTTTAAAGTAGTCAACCCCCTTATGGGGGTTGATCAATATTCCTGGCCCCCAAATGACCATGGTCAACTTTTCCCATGGTCATCTTGTTTGGTGTCTTCCCTGATGGTCATCCCATGTGTCACTGACCTTTTGATCAGACCCCCACATCCTCGGCGTTTCTCAGAGCTTCCTACCCCATCTTCGACCCACTTGGTGTCCAACATGGTTGGTGGACATAGACATGTTCACAGAATGGTGCCAAGGACAATTCTCTGAACCCATACTGTGGATGGACGAAATCCTGCACCACCCAAGAAACCCTGGCATGACTCGATTTCCTTGCCAATACCAACAAATGTTATCAATGGTTTCATTCCCATGATTTCCTTTGGTGCGAGAAGCGGATGACTCGCAATCCACGTAGTCGGATGGGATAAGAACACCTTCCATTTCGAAAGTCCCCCCAAAACTTGGCTCCCAGCCATCCGGTCCCCTAGCTCTTTAGCCTTTTAGTGCTTAGTGGTGGGATTTCCATTTAACCCGCCAAAAAATGAACTTTTCGCGGGGAATCTGAGGGCAGCCCAGAACAGAAGGACGCAGCCATACTGTGGATGGACGAAATCCTGCACCACCCAAGAAACCCTAGAATGATTCGATTCCTCCTGTAAATGCCAACAAACGTGTTGGCTTCAACCATGGTTTCAAAGTAGTGCGAGAAGCGGATCTCGCAACCATCCGCAGTATGTTGGTTTTCTTTGGTTTCCCTTTAAAACCACCAAAGACATGGGGGTACGACCGCATATGTGTCAGACTGCTTCCATCCGCATCTGTCCTTTGAGCAGCCATGGGATAGGACAAACAAATCCCCCAAAGAAACGCAAAACATGTCCAAAATACATCTGCACCCTGAGAACACCTACCATTTTCGGGATTTCCAAAACAAAAAACGGACGCAGCCACGGGATGGGGACACACGTCTCACCCCTTACCATCGCCATCGCCCAGGTTCCGCCGCGCGGAGCTGCAGGGCCTCTCAGCGGCCCAGTGTGTGGCGGCCCAGGGCCGCCTCAACGCGGAGCAGCTGCGGCTCGGCAGGATGGCTGCGGCTCAAGTTTGTTTCCTTCTCCTGTTATTATCATTATTTCCGAGAATCATCATGTAATACTCATTAGATCATATACATACATATATATATATATATATATCTGTATATATATATATATATGTATATATATATACATATATATATATATTATCAACTAATTTTACTCACTAGCTTATTTATTCTCTGTGTATTTTTGTTGTCAACCCCTGTGTAGAATGTCTCACACTCGGTTGTCCATCATTTTTTTTAAAATGAAATAATAATAATAATAATGATAATAATATGGCTTCACTGCAAGCAATGTGGGCATAGGAGATAGTCCAAAAGAAACCATTGAACAATAATCCATTATATAGTATTCATAAGATCATATGAATTGATTTTATCAAACAATGTTACTGACTCAATTATGTATTATCTCTTTAATTTTGTTGTCAACCCCTGTCTTGGGTTGTTTTAAAGGGAAGCCATGGGGACACCACCAATTTTTGAGGTTCTCCATGAGCGGGGGTTAGCATTTTTTTTGGGATCTTGGACGTGGGTCGCCAATTTTCGGGGTTCTCCAAGAAGCGTGGGTCTTTTTTGGGCCAACATCTGTTTCTTTGGGAATTCTAGCTTCCAGAATCTAAGGAAGCACCCCGTCAAAAGGGCGGGGAATCACATCTGGGTTTGACTTAAAATTAGGCAACACTTTTTTATGAGCAGTTTTCTCCTTTGGCTTCCCTTTCTTACCAACCTTTAAATCGGTGTCCTTTAAGCAAACAATACATGTATAATATATATATATATATAGATATGATGTGGGTTTGCTCAATATCAATCCGCAAGATCCTCATGCCAGATGGTCGACCCGTGGTTTGGTGTCTCGCTGCAGATTCTGGATAAGGATTTTCTCCATTTTGAGCAACCAGTTTCCTTTTGGTGTTCTTCAAAGCAAAATGAGAAGGACGGAAGGGTGGAAACAACCCGCCTCTTATTTTGCAGGTCGCATGGTTGATTTTGGCATCAGTTGAGCATCCGAAACGGGGAGCAAGAACACAAAGTAGAATGCCAGAGCAGAGATGACCAAAACGAGTTTGACCCAAAGGAGCAGAGTGATCTGGGGCCTAGGGGTGCCATTCGACACAGGGACAGCTGTGAGAGGCGTGGGAAGTGCCAGCTGGCCGAAGCGCCAATCTTTGCTCAGCAATCTGTGCTTCTAAGTTGGAAACCCACTGCCCCAAACAAACTACCCAAGGGGAATGGGGGGCACATACCCTTCATGTGCTGCAAAACGCCATATCCCACTAACCCCCTGGGCGTGGCAAATTGGCTGTGGACATAGAGCGCTGCCCGCGCCCTCAACACCTGCAGCCGGGCAGCGCTTTGAAGAGGTTTTGGCTGTTTTGAGACGCGTTTTTTGCCGCATCTGGCTGAGGGACAACGACCGGGGCCCATCTGGCTGCGTGGATCCCAGGCGGCTGAAATCTGGAGGCCTGGTGGAGTATGCGCTTGGTGCCGCTGCGCGCATGCTTGAGGATGCTAGCAGAACCATGGGTTGAAAAAGACACCCCTCGCCTTTTCGTGATGTAAAGTCCCGTCCCTTCACTTTCTCGGCAGGCGCGGAACAGAAGAAAAGGACAGCAGTAGAAGCGGGGCTGCCAAAACACGGCAGAATTGGATGCAGAGGAAAAGAAAAGCTGATACCAACCGATACCGGGGTAGAAGGTTGCAAGGCTCGCTTGCGGGCCAGATAGGATGACGGCATGCCCCTGAAAGGCGCCTGGACGCTGCCTGCGAAGCCGTGCACCTTTGGCTTCAGCCGCTGGCCCAGTCACACGTGGCTTACATTTGGCCGTGGCTCAAAATTCAAAAGCTAGGGGCAAACCGCAGGTTTTAGTCTTTGGTCCCATCCAAGGTGTCATTTTGGTAGATTTCTTTCAGCCATGGCTGTGGATCGCAGGTTTTAGTCGTTGGTTCCACTTGCCAGGGTTCCAGGAGTGGGTACCCATTTTCGACCCTCAGCCATTTGATTGCCCTGAGTGGGGCACCCCCACCCCCGAAATCATTGTTCCAGGCCAAGAAAACACATTTGGGTCTGTCTTGTTTTGAGGGCACCCATTTTTTTCCTTTGGCGGTTTCAAAGGGAAACCAAAGGCCACCATTTTGTGAATTGTTTTCGGTGGGTCTCCTTAACAAAGACACACGCATGTCCGGCGGGGGCTTTTGGGTTGCTGCAGTCAAAGGAGCGGCTTTAGCTCACTGCAGACTTTTGGCAAAGTGACATGCAAGCAGTGCTTGAAACTGACCGAGGCTCTCATCAAATGAAGTGCTCAACGAGGTGCGGCAAGAGTTGGGCGCGTCTCTGTGGGCTTTCCCAGTGCTTTTGCTCGGACGATCGGACGCAGTCGGGTGAGCACTCGCTTGGAATCTCAAGTTGGCAGGTGTACGGTTTGCTGTGGCCTGGTCAGAAGGGGCTTGGGTGCCGGCCAGCTTGTACTAGGTCTGGCGGGCGGGTTCAGGGTCCAGTGGTGAACTTGACGCTGTTTCGTTGTTCCTCGTTCTGAGACCTGATCTGCAGTCAGTTTAAGGATTCTAGGTTTGTTCCCTTTGTTACCCTCCTGTCCATGGAACCCAGGAGGTTTTAAAGGAAAATCGTTTGCCACTACCCCGAAACGTCATTCAGGTTCCGTAGTGGACAGGAGGTAACAATGGCAACCATCAGTGGCTTCAACTTGGGTGGAAATCCAGTGACAGGGTATTTCAGGGAATCACTTTGAACCGTCCCTTGGATCTAGGCAAACTATGCTATAAGCTATAGGTCAGAAGGGCCTCACTTGGAGCCAGGCTGGACTACCTGCAGGACCGCGAGCCTGCCCCGGGCTCGGACCCCGACGGCGACGGCCACTCCATGGACGAGTGGGCTGCTTGGTTCGGAGAAAAATATAGTGTGACGCCAAAAAAAAACACCGCCAAGGACGTGAATGCCATGGAATTGGGGAGGAGTTGCCCCAGGAATGTCCCGCAATCCTTTCCATTTCCAGTCCTTTGAAGTATTCTTGAGTTGTGGGCAGACTTGATCAATGCATTTCTTGCCCTTTTGGGTGGGGGCGCCTGCTTCTGTGATCCCTGCTCTTTGTGCAGAAGCATACTCACTTCTTGGAGCCTGAGTTGCAGAATAATGGCAAATCTCAGTCATTCAGGGTGGTTTTCTTGCCAGGTCAATAAGTGGTGCCACCCCAAGTTCAGCGTGCCTGGCCGTCCTCTTTCTGCAGACCTAGCTGCTGGGGAGTATGTGCAAAACGAGGAGGCAAGGATGAGGTGGCAGGCTCCCTTGAGACCCCCCAAGCACCTAACCAGCAACTGCATGCTCTTTTTTGACAACACGACCGCGAACGATGGGCTTTGTGGCGTGAATTCCAGCCTGCCCCTGTTCGAAGCCCGTGCTTGGCCTTTGTGCCAGAAAGTAGCGCCCTCCTGCTAGGATTTACACAGTCTTTGCGGCCCTTGCAACGCTTCTGCTAAGGTCAGCACTTTTGAGAACTTTTTCGGGGTTATCAAAGTGGGGGGCTTTCCCCACTTTTTGCTTGGTGACGAGGCTCTGAAGCGACGGTTGCAGCGACATGTGTCTCAAATCCTGGAGACAAGTGTAAGAACCGCGACTCCAACTGCATGCCATGTTGTGAAGGTGCCTTGGAAAGCTGGTTTCGCAGAGCACGTGCTTTTCCTGGGCAGTCACCAAGCATGTGTGGGGTTGGTGTGGCAGGGTAGCATGTTGGCTGCTGCGTGTTTCTTTTTTCTTCTTTCTGGTGTGGATGTGTCCTGCTTTGGGAGGCGGAGCAAGAGGCTGAAGCGCTGAAGCCGGAGGAGAATGGTGGGGACGACAAGGCGGGGAGTTTGGTTCCCTCTCAGGCTTTCGGTGGGAGGAGCGGCTCCCTCTCCGTCTCCTCTCTCTTCCCGAATCTGGCAGGTGCCGCCCGATGAGCCGGAAACGCTCGAGGATGTCATTTGAGTGGGCGGCTTGTGAAATTCAGGAATGCCCAGGGGAGCCATTGACCAGGCACGTGGAAGTACCAGCTTTCTGTCCCGGCCCCCGCGGCGCTTCTGCGAGCGAGCGACTGGCAAAAGAAGCCGCCGTGGCTCGGCCCAGTGTTTTCCCCCAAAATAGATCCGACGTGCCGTAGGGGCTGAGGGAGTTGTGGTTTCCCTTCGCCAAATAGGTGCTGTTGTGAAAAATAGGGCAACCGCACCCTGGCGTTATCGCCCCGGATGGAAAAGGGACGAACAAAGCTGCGGTCCGCTTCCTGGCGGGAGTTGACGTAGCTTCAGGCTGGTGCTCCCTGATCAAGATGGCCGAGCTGCGGGGCTTGGAGCTGGCCCGGACGCCCAGCGAGTGGACGAACTTTCGGCGGGGTTCGTCGTGTTTTTTTTCCTTTTTTTTTCTTCTTCTTTTTTTCGACGGCGCCCGGCGAGGTTTTGGAACCCTTCGGGGGTCGAGTTTTTTTTTGGATGCAAATCGATATGCGGGCTTGTTTGCATGCGCACGAGAAAAAATGCGCGCATACACACACACACACCATCTCTGGTTAGGATTTCGGTGGGGTTCCTACAGCGGATTTTCTCAGCAACTGAGCATTGCAGCATTTGAGACACATCTTCGACTTAACATTCGGAACCTCTCCAGATCCATTCGCGGTGTCGCGCAGTTTGCTCCACCTGTTGGATGCAAGTTGCTTGCAAGCCGAGTCAAGACTCAGACTCACGGCATTGGTTTCGTTTGCGCCAGGTGCCAGCGACGGCCTTTTGGCCAGCAGTCTTCTGCAAGGCAAACACGGGTGTCTACTGTTCTTTTGAAAGGGCCCCTTGGCACTTCCATTGTTGGAAAGAGGGGTAAACCGCTTTTTGGATGGTGCAGGAAAAGGACAAGCACTTGAAAGGGCTTTTAGACATCCATCCCACTGGGCCTTACGTCGCTCTTGCAGCATGCGCTGCTGTGAACGTAGTCTCCCTAAACGTTTTTGTGTGGCGGCCATGGTCGTCCAACGGAGAGCGAAGAACGTCATCCAATGTGGATCTTTCTTACGGAGCCCTGCCTGATAGAGCGGACTTTGTTCTGGAAAGGGCTGATGTTTGGACTGCAGCACAACGGCGCACTAAAATGGCTACGAATTTTAGTAGGGAACCCCTTCAAAGGTGGTTCGTGACATAAATCCCCACCTAAATGGTGTCTACCAAAGTGTTCCTAATTAAAATTCCTAGCCAAATATGAGGCAACTAAAAATGTCACCTGAGCCGCAATCAAAACCCGGGTAGGTGAAGGTTAGCAAGGGACGATCCCAACCATAAATAGCTGCGGATATCCGCCTTCTTAGTTCTTTACATGGTTCTGGGTGCGCCATTCTTGTACCGGGTTTTGATTATGTCTCATATGTGTCCTTCTTAGGCTAGTTTGGTCAAAAGTAGATGGGTTTCACTGGCTTAGATGGGTTTCATTCATTTGCCAGGGCCATCTATTGTTGCAAAAGGTCACCTACCTTTCAACTCTCCGAAAGATGGGCTCACGCCTCTCGCTCGGACCGTTTTCGATTCGATGCCAGGAGAAGCAGCCGGAAGCCGGGGCTCTCTTCGGTGGGGGCCCCGAGTTTTGATTTCCGTCTCTTGCTTTGTGGGGCCCTGCCGTCCGGTTCCTTAGGTTTCAGGTTTTTGGTTGGGTTTTTTTGGGTTGGTTTAGTGGTGGGGTTCCACTTGGTGGGTTTTTTTGGGTTTTAGTTGGTTTAGTGGTAGTTTTCACTAAACGGCCAATAGTTTTCGACTGTTGGCAGGGGATCTGGAAAAAGCACAGTAAAGGGAGACGACACAAAACACAAAGCCCCCTTCTTGGGGGTTCCCTCATCTTGATGCAGAAGGACATGACAGAGTCCTGCCGTAGACGAGTCTTTCTTGTTTTCAGTTCTGATTTGACTGTGACTGGGATGTCTAAGTCGCACACCTTGTCCGTTTTGCAAGAGAACGCCGTGCTTGTTCAAAAGGCTAGGGAGGGAGTCCCCTTGGCTTGTCAACACGGAGGCGGATTGGCACCTGGTGGTGTGCTGCATGTATTGGAGAGAATAAATCTCTGGATCTGCGTTCAGGAGTGGATCACAACGCCGCGCAACGCCGCAGCAAAGTCTTTGACCAGGGGCAGCTTTGTTTGAAGAACCTGACTTGGAGCTGTTGCAAGGGGATCCTAAATACATATTCGACACTGGGATTGAATGTAAAGCGGTTGTCTCAAGGCGCCAGAGAGTTGGAGAGATTTGACGCGTGTCAGGTGGCGCACGGCTGAACTGCCAAAGGCGCCTTCGTTGCTTCGTTCGCGGATCCTGTTGAAAAGGGGCCTTGTTTAGGTGGGCGTGTCCCTTTGTGTGGGTTTAAAGGGTTTCTACCATTTTGGGTGACCGCACATGTTACGACACGCCCATGTGTCGGTTGATGAGTCGCTTCGTAATCGAAAGTTTCCATTTGACGGCGAACTCTTGCCAGCAAGAGAGATGGGCGGGTCCAGCGGGGTCTGGTAGTCTTCTTCATGCCCAATCAATGGTCCATTCAAGGTTCGTGTTTCGGTGGCCTGCGGTGCTTTCTATGCGGCTTTCAGACGGACTGCAGCGGTGAAGCTATTGTATCAGTGGCTTATCATCATGCAAAGACGCTTGGCTCTGTCTGAAAAACATGGCGCCTTGGTAAATGGAGCCAATGCCTACAACCAGCGGTTTGCCCCTTGCTCTGTAATCTTGAGCCCCACCCATGTAGACCGAACCCGTGCGCCTAGGCCTTTCTCCGAGTCTCTCTTGGGAGTTGTCACCAGCTGGCTCTGGGTGCCCCAATTTGGGAAGCTGCCAGAGCCCGGGCCCTGTGTCCGAGTCCGGTACTGAACCCGAGTACGAGAGACGGGTAGAAAAGGCTGTGGGTCAAAGCCAATGCGATCCCATTTTGGTTGGTAGGTCCACCACCCATTATAGAACCAATTTTAGTGGGGATTGGGATGTTCGGTGGGGGGTAACATGGCCAGATAGCTGCAGATGAGTCAGCCAGGAATCCTGGGAGCAACGGACCGCATTGAAAGAGTACTTTGCGGAGACTTCTGTCGGGCTGAAGCGGCCAGGTACCTGCCGGCCTGATTCCCCCCGTTCATCGGCTTGCTGTGCGACCCTGGGCACGAGCCCTGAGGTAGCAAGCGGTCTAGTGCTCCAAAAAGGGTCGGTGGACGTAAACCCCCATGGACATGATGTGGCCATGGGTACCCCCAGTGAACATCCCAGTGGTGCACCTACCCCAGAATGGAACCCATGGTTTTGACCCACAGCCATGTCCCAAGGGTCCCCACTTCAAAACTCAGACCCACTCCGCTCGGGCCAAGAGTTCAGTGCAGCCGCTGGCTCGCGGCCATATATGACATGAAAGTGTTGTCATGAGCTGCCTAGCACAACGAGCCTGTATGCACCGTTCTTTGCACAAGCCTGGCTTTGGCACGGAGTCTGACTTTTGCTGGGTATGCACTGTTGTTGCTCCTCACTAAACCAGGTATTGACCCGTGGAGGACAGGTTTTGCATTGGAATCCAGGCTTTTGGGGCAGGGTTTTTCTGGAAGGATCCCTTACAAACACCTGCATAAAGTGGCGTCCAGTCTCGGGCGCGGAAGTCGCAAGTCGCAAGCGCTTATGGCGCGTATGGCCTTGGCGCATGGCTCGCCATGACGAACTGGCTGGAAGGTTGCTCGGATCTGCAGAGCGATCAAACCCTTTGCTTTGGGGTTCGGAAGTTTTTCTAGTAATTCTGGTACCCCTCAACAATGGGGGCGAACCAGAATAAGGGAAACAACTTTTAATTATTCGCCGTCACATGAATGATCGAGTGATAACATTAGGCCTTGATAAACGTCGTATAAGGGGCTATCGAACATGGTAACGGGAGAGTCACTCAAAAAAGAACACGAATCAACATGTCCACCAAATGCCTAAGCATCATAGCCAACCCAAGCTTGGAGCAAGTCCCAACCATGAAGGGGTGCAGCCGCCTTTTGAAATCTTTGCACGGTGCTGGGTAGACTATTGAACACCAGTTATTCTGGATTTGAAGGGACACCGAAAAGATAATCGTTTTTTTGTTTGGATCCAATATTTTCAGACATACCCATGTTCGCATTCGGCTGCGAAGCCGCGGGCAAAGGACGACTTTGAACAGGAGACCTTGAATCAACTCCCTTTTGTTCGATTGGCTCGGGGAATTCCGCAGGTTAGAGCACTCATTTCTTTCTTCGCACACACGAAGAGTCGCAGTGACAGATCTCTAGGCTTGTCCCCTGCGGTGCTGCGAGCGCTGCATTGGACTCTTAGTGGGAGCGAGGAGCGGGGGGGAGGGAGGGGGAACCTGGAGGTGCTCTGACCGCAGTTCCACACGTGGAGCCTGACAAAAGGATCTGAGACCGTGGACCCTCTTCTCGGCAAGGGAAGTCTGGTGAGTTTCCTCTTGGTAGAGCAATTCATTCTGCGTTCGGAAACAGCAGTGATCTTTCGAACCTTGAGAGTTCACCTTACCTTAACAGTGATTTTGCAACAACCGCTAGCTGAGGTTTACCCAGTATAGCTTTTTTCCCACCTTGCTAGGACCAACCGGGGTGAAGTGAGCCCTCAAGACTGCCTGGAAAAGCCCGGTGAACCGGAATCAGGGTGAAAGATGGCGACACCTCGATCTGGTTTCATCATCCTCACCTGGTGTTGCAGTGCAAAAGCCCCTATGAGTAAATCCCAGGAGACTTGTTCACTGGGGATATCTACCTTTAGGTGACTAAGTGGGATGCAAGGGACAAATATTTGCCGCCGACGGATGGTCCACCAAGTGAGTCTGTCTTCTTTTGCCCTTTTTGGTTGGTTTTGAAGGGACACCAAGCCGAGTACCGCCACTTTTGGGGGCCTCCCTTCAGAGAAAAACACCCATCAATTGTATTTTTCTTGGTTCCTCCATGTTTTTGGGGCCTCTTAACCCAAAAAAACACGAGGCCGCACCCCTTCCGTTGGAGATGACTCTGCCGCCGAACGCCGCCGAACCGCCGCCGAGCCGCGCAGGAGGCGAAGCGCCAGGCGCTGCTGCGGCCGCTGGTGGAGGAGCTGCGGAGTGGCCTGGCGGTGGTGCGCCTTGACCCAAAGTCGTTAACAAAGCCATCTCCTTTGTTGCTTCCCCCCTTTTGGGGGGGACCATTTCTTTGCTTTGTCCGTTCTTGGCAAACACGAGGGGCGCGCTCAAAGGTGCCTTTTCTTTGGTGCATTTTGCCAAGGGATGTTAGGACTTATGGTAACTTTTTGCCAACGAATGGGTTTTCCGTATTAAACCACTAAAAGTTATTCACTTTTAGCAGGGGAGCAGAAAGCAACCGAGAGTCGCTGGGATCGGTTTTTGCACGGACACCTGGGATGAGTTTTTTGTTTGTCAAATGCTTTGTGAAATTACAGCACCCCTTGTGGAAGACTGTTGTGTTTTTGGAAAAGGGGCTTGTGGCTCTTAATGTTAGTTGCCATCACGTTGGAATAATGTTGGTACACAAAGCGGAATGGCTAAAACCATGGCTATGCGACTTTTTCCTCCAAGTGGACTACCCAGTGATTCCATCTCGATGTAGGGATCTGTGGAAACCACCCTTTAAAATCTAAGAGGACACCCCCCTTACAGATTCCCTAAACCACAATTGGAGGTGGCTTGCTATGTGTCAAAATAGCAAGCTTCACCTGAAGTGTTCCTTTAGCCCAAAAGGACACTCCCAAATGAATCGGCCGACTCCGTTTTGTTGGTTGGTAAAGGAGAAGCAAAAATCAAACCAATCATTTTGGCACCAAAGCAACCCGGAACCCAGCGCACTTAGACCACATTCTGCCCAGAAACGCAGCCCAATACATTAACGCCTGGCCTACGGTTGGTTCACGAATTGTTGCAAACAGAGAACAAGGAACACCCGTTTTTTTTTGTTTTTGCCGTGGCTTGTAGGTTGTTGTGGCGAAGCCCCCCAACAAGAGCATAAATCATAGTATGGGTTCTGTCCTATGGGTCTGTCCTATGGTCCTATGGGTTCTCGGCCCCCTTCCTCGAGGTTTAAGGGGACACCAAACACAAGAAAAAACAAAAGGTGTCAGTTTTAGGGGTCCCCGTTTTTGGACAAAGCAAACGCATCATCATCATCATCATCATCATCATCATCATCATCATCATCATCATCATCATCATCATCATCATCACCAAAACCGGATCCTGGGGGAATTTCTTCTCTGCCTCTGTTGGTTCTTTGTGGTACTTGAGGATCCTGTTTGAGGTCGGCGTCGTTTGAGTCCCATGCCTGTTTCCTGATGCTGCGAGAGTGCGGCTTCTTGTGTGGAGCATGCAGGGCGCTAGCGTTCGCTTGAAAGAACCCTAAACCCAAAAGAGCTTGGGATGGAGTGGGTCGCGGGTGGGAACCACTGGCAACGCAGGGCGCTGGCCCAAAACGGTCGCAATTCCCAGCCCTCGGCTCCAGGCAGCTTCTTGGCCCGAGGCTAGCGGAAGAAGCTGACTCGGGTGCTGCGGCTTCTCCAGGGGTGCCTCGGGCGGATACAGCGATCGTCCCTTTCGTTTTGGTACTTAGCGACACAGATACAGCGAACCCCGTGTTTCCAGCCGCAAAAAGCAGGCCCGAGAATGCCCGCCTCGAGAGTGCATACTTTGAGGTCTGTTGCTTCATATTTAAGGTCCCCTTCAAAGGAACTTTGGATCCCCGAAAGCAGACCAAGAGAAGCTTCGTCGCACACGGGTTTCCCGTGGATTTGGTTTGCCCTTGCCGGTTTGTTGCCAGCTTGCCGGATGAGTTGAAGCCAAATACCATCCAACTGGCGGCTAGGGGAATTCCCTAAAAACATATAAATTTCACGAGCAAGGGTATCGTTTGCCCTGCAGGTGGAACTCCAGTTTGATGAGACATGTTTAGCAGCCGCAGCAGTCTGATAGGACCCCCGCTCAAGGTGAGCCACGTGCTCAAAACCCGGGTAGATGAAGGTTAGTAAGGGCCAATCCCAGCCATAAATAGCTGCGGATATCCTCGTTTTTGACATGGTTCTAGGTTCACCATTTGAATACCGGGTTTTGATTGTGGCTTAGGTGTCAGTCTGTGTTCCTGGAACTGCTCACCATGCTTGGGCTGCTGCCATCTCTTCAAATCACCAGCTACAGGAGGGATGAATCGGCGATTTCTTTCAGAAACATGCCTCAACGAGTCTTTCCAAGTTGATAGATGCAAGAAGCTCCAGCCATCGGAGCGCATCTTTCCCATCGTTTCTCGCGTTGCCTGAGGCGCCTGCTGGGAAGACATCCAAGCGCCTGAGCCGCAAGTTGCGGCCACCGCCGTTTTTGCTCATAGCGGCCCTGGGCAAATCAACCCGCCCAAAGGATTCAGAATTCAGCTGCCTCCGCCGGCAGCCTCAAAACCAGGGATGCCCGGTGTGATTCTGTTACTCGCGTCCTGTTTGATGCTCCCTTCCTTTTGGCTTGGCTTGCGATTCTGTACCCGGACCACACAAGGAGATGTCTATGCAGGTCCGAGTGCAGCCGAAGATCGAGCTCCCAGGCTCCGATTTGCAAAACATATCCCACCCGTGTTTTCCTCTGACCGCATACATGTCTCCCGTTTTTTTGTTTTTCTCCAAGGGATGACCTCCATCCCCGTGGTTCCCCCCCGGATCCGGAGCGCGAAGCGCTTTTCGGGGGAAAGAAGCCGAGGCCCAAGCGGAAGTTGCAGAAGGCCCAGCTGCGGCTGCAGAACGCCAAGGGCCTGCAGACCCCTCTGCACTGGCTCTGTGCGCGGGATGTGCTGGAGGGGGCAGAACTGGGAGGCGGATCGGTCGGCTTTTTACTTGCATTTTGGCTGCTCGTTTTGGCTTTGGGGGAGGGGGTCTTAGCTTCTTCTTCTTCTTCTTCTTCTTCTTTAGAAGGTTTCGGCCCTGCCGTTCATTTTTCTTGCTTGGCTCGTTTTGGCTTTGGGGAATGACTTGCTGGTGCGATAGGGGAATGTGGTTGAATGAACCGGAACGGAAACCACCAGTTGGATGGTTTATAAGGTCATTCCATTTCTCATTCGCTGCCTATCGCACCAGCAAGTGGTGGCTTTGGGGGAACGTGGGGGGGCTGCGGGGGGAAGTGGCCTTTTCTTGACTTTGAATCGCTCTTCTTGACCTTCTGATTCTCCATTGGTCAATTTTATGGCACCAGCCGGGTGTGTCTCTCTTTTTGGAGGGTACAGGCCCCCCCCACTGCCCGGACCGTTTTCTGGGTTTTGGGGTTTCCCAAGCCGAACACTGGGATCCCATAAACTTCCAATTGGTTAGGAATATCTTTTCTTTTCCCGTGTTGGTTTTAAAGGGAATCTATCACTACTGGTATTATTTTAACTTTTTCCAGGGGACTTTAAGCAGATGGAGGACTAGGTAAGGGTTTCTAAGGAACCCATCACCAGACCCAGAAGGAGTTGTTGACCACGGCAAGACCAAAGACCAAACATCCCACTCGTTGCTGTTGGGGGGAGGGGGGGTAAACATCAGGAACCACTCCCCAAACAACGCACCGCAGGCTGGCCCTCGGCGTCCGGGCCTTGCCCGGCCTCGCTGGCGAGGGCGCTGGCAAAGCTCTGGGCGGAGCAGCTGCTGCTGCCGGACGTCCTGGGTGCCAGGGCGTGAGGGAGACCGCGGCGATTATGGGTGTCCCTTTTTACAGGGCTCCTTAAAAGATACCAAAATAGAGGGAAACCACCATTTACAAGGCAATGTGCAGGTGTATAATGTAAGGATCCCTGTTTTAGGTTAGTTTGCTTAAAAATAGAAGGCACTGGTTTAGATGAGTTTTTAGTTGCCGTTAGGTTGGAAGAATGTTGGTGTTCACTTTGTTGCATGGGTGTCCTTTTGCGGCGAGCTTTCTGAAAAATAAAAGGCACTGGTTTAGATGGGATTGATGCCCCATTTACCAGGGCCATCTATTTTTCCAAAAGGGCACCTATGGTAACGAATGGTTGTGGGGGTCAAAAAAGTCGGGTAACCCGAAAATGGCTGAAACATGGATGATTCAACCTGCGGTGCAACTCCTGGCTTGATGCAGAGGTGCATTTTGCAGACGGATGTTAGGACTGAACAACTTTTTGCAAAAACTAATGGGGTTTTCCGTATGAAACCACTAAAAGTTAAGCTTTTAGCAGGGGAGCAGAAAGCAACTGAGGTGGCGCTTGGCTGTGGGGGTCAACAAATCGGGTAACCCGAAAATGGCTGAAACATGGATGATTCAACCTGCGCTGCAAGTCCTGGCTTCATTTTGACCCATAGCCAAATCAGCTTGGTGTCCGTTCGGTCATTTTGGTGGAAAAAGAGATGGGGGGGAGCAGGGAAACAAAGAATAGTGACATGTACTGTAAAGAGGCCAAGTTAAAGAGCAGGCGGTGCCATGGTTGCGGACCAACTTCTGTGATACCAAAGGAACCCCGAAAGTGACAAATTATGTTGCAGGGCTTGTGGTCAATTAGAAAGGGTAATGTCCATTTTCTTCCGATCTGGGAACAACATAGTTTGCCTCTTTGCACCGGTGAGCCACAATCAAAGCCACGTTGGATGAAGGTGATTAAGGAAGAGTCCCAACCATAAATGGGTGCTTTCGCCATTCTAAATCAGTAGATGGTTCGGGGCAGACTATTTAGATACCGATCGGTTTCGATTTTGACTCAGGTGTCCTTCTTCGAAATCTCTCTCTCCGCTTCTTTCCTTTCTTCCCCTAGTCTTCTTTCTCCCTGGTCGATCTGGGTCTTGTGCCCCGTCCATGATGTGATCTTGGCACTCGTCAGTGCCATTCCCTGTGTCAGATGCGCCACAATCAAAACCCAGGTAGATGAAGGTTAGCAAGAGATGCTCCCAACCACAAACAGCTGCTGATATCCGCCTTCTTAATTCTTGAGGCATGGTTCTGGGTAGACCATTTTACTACCGGGTTTTGATTATGACTCAGATGCGCGTGACTGCCCGAGGACTGTTGCCCGTGAGCTACTTGACCCCGCCAATCTGCGAGGATCACTTGCCTCACAGCCCCCAGAGAGAGCTGCTTCGACGCATCCCCCCCCCCCCCCCCCCCACCAGAAAAAGGGGGGGGGGTTTGGGGGGGACGCCTGGAATTCCACCAACTGCCATTGGCATACCGTTTTTGGTGTTTTCAAAGGAAAGCCAAAACATTTGATTCTAGGTCTGTTCTTGAACACGGCTGTGGCTCGGGATTTCTCGCCTTCCACCACTCGAAGCCGTCCATCCACCCCGAATCGAAGGCGCCCCCCCAGTTTGCGGAAATGGGCTTGGGCTTCCCTTTTTTCTCTTCTTTGCTTCCGGTCAAAACACGAAATATCGCCCATCCCGACAGCACAATCTATTGATAGCATGACTACGAATCTCGCGGTCGTTTCGGTGCCATCAGCGCCAGCGAGAGAGCAACGCCTGAACCGGGGGGCTTTTTGGGGCGCCAACGAACTGGGGGCCTGCGTTTTTTTTCTTCTTCCTCTGCCGCCTCGGCGCCTTGTCGAGGCTGCTGGTGACGGTGCTGCAAAGTTTGGAGGCCTGGACCTCGCAGCTTCCGGAGGCGGTGCTCAGGGCGCTGACCCCCCCCGAGGCGCGAAGCGAAGTTCGGCGACGCGAGGGCCTCGCGGGTGGTTTGAGTCTTCGGGACTCTTCGGCACGGCGAAAGCAAAGGGACTGGAAACAAAAATGGGTGATTTCTGACGAAACTTGAGAAGCACCCCCCTCTGAGCTTTGAAAAGAAAGAAGGCGGTGTTTTGCTTGGTTTTGGTGCTCTTCTTGCTTGCAAACACCTAGTTGAGACCGATTTGGGCTTCTTTGCCCTTCCTCTTTGTCTCTCCCTCTCTCCTTCTCTCTTCGTCTCTCTCTCTCTCTCTCTCTCTCTGTCTTTCTGTCTTTTTGTCTTTCAGTTTGTCTCTCTTTCTGTCTTCTCTCTTCCTCTAATTTTGATCTCTTTCCATCTTTCTCTCGTTCTCTCTGTCTCTCTGTTTTCTCTCTTTCTGCCTTTCTCTCTTTGTCTCTTGTTTTTTCTCCTCTCTCGCTCTCTCTCCAGCCCACTAAAGTGAACAACGCGGAAAACCCCGAGGTTGTCAAGGTCGTTCCACTGATTGCAGTGAGCATAAGGAAAAACACGAGTTTTGGAGGGTCGACCCCATGAAGATCCGCGGAAGGTTCACCATTTGATGGTTGGGGTTTCAGCAACTCTTGGCCCACCTCTATTCCCCGCATGTTCCCAGCTGCTATTTTTTTCCACGTCACGCACAGTTGCATGCATTGTTAGAGAAAACTACGGAAGTTCCTTCTACCTTGATAATGAAATGGGTGCAAGGGCTTGACTCTTACATTCGGGTTTCACAGCTGAATACCCGTGATGATGCATTTGGCTTTGTTGGTTGGATCTGCAGAGGAATTCAGCTTCTGTTAAGGGTCCAGAAGCTGTACCCTTGGTTCCCTTTTTTCTTTTAGGAATCAGAGGCCCTAACCCACATGCTTCAAGTCAGATATCATCAGGCTGTGAGTCAAACATAGGGTAATCCCAAAATGGCTTGCCCCGTAAATGGATCCGACATTCAAACCGGCTGTCCCTTTGGTGCGTTTAACTCGGCAGGCGCGGCGGAGTTTGGATTCCGCGCTGCAAAGGCCGGGGGCTGCGTTTTGTGCTTCCCGTGTGGGCACATTTGTGGAAGTGGGGTGTGTGCCTACTTAGGGGACCCCCCCCCCAGAAAAAAGAAGAAGAAGAAGCAAAGAAGGAATCAAGGCTGGTTTTCTTTTGGTTGCCCTTTGGGCACCAAAAGAGGGTTCCCAACAAAACGGACACGCCTAGTGAAGGCGCGGGTTTCCGAGTTGACTTTTTCGACCACCCCACTTGGCGACGCCGCAGGCTCGCCGCCACGGGCGACGGCTCACAGGGGCTCCGAGTGGACTGCCTGCAGGCGTCTCGTGTTGCGAATGTCTTGAGCCTCCAACTCAGCCGGGTTGTCTTGTTTCAATCGGACCCAATATTTTTTTTTGCTTTTGGCATCCCTTAGCCGTTAAAACAGGGCACCTCAGCCTCAGAAACAAATGGCAAGCCCTCAAAACCATTGAAGCCCCCCCCCCCCCCCCTTAGCCTCAAAAAAAGGCACTCAAAACCTTTGACCCTCCCTTGTCGAAAAGGACTAGCCCTCCAAAACCTTTGAAGCCCCCGCCCCCTCCCGGGCCGTCTTTGGCATTTGGCTTTTGGCTTCCCTTAGCCATTAAAGACAGGGCACCTCAGCCTCAAAGCCTTTGAAGGCTGGCCGTGATTGGTCGAAAAGGAGCAGCCTTGAAAACCTTTGAAGGTCTCCCCCAACCCACCAACCATTTTTCTTGCAAAGGTTTTTTGATCAAACCTTTGCGGCCCATGCCGCGCCTCGTTTTGGTGGCCCCTTGGCCCAGGCCTTGCTGCGCCCGGACTGCCAGGCCGCCGCCCGCGGCGCCGCCCAAGCCGCGGCGCTGGAGTGCCGGGAGCAGCGGCGCGACGCCCGGCGCCTGGCGCAGCAGGCGCAGGCGGGAAAACGGGCGAGAGAGAGAGAGAGAGCCGGGTTTGTTCGTTCGTTTTTTCTTCTTCTTTCTTTCTTTATTTATTTATTTTATTTATTTTATTTCTTTCTTTATTTATTTATTTATTTATTTATTATTATTATTATTATTAATTTGTCATCAAGAAGGGTTCGATCTTTTTTTGCCCCCTCAGGAAGGGTTCGGGTTTTTGTTTTTCAGGAAGGGTTTCGGGTGTTTTGGTGGGTTTGGGTTTTGTTAGGGAAAAACAAGAAAGGGGACATTAGTAAACAAGGGTCTGTCTCTGTTTGTTAGTGGTTGGGATGTTGTTTGTTGAGGCTTGGGCGGCAATTGTCAATAACGGGGGGGGGGGGGGTTGTTTGAACAAGGTCTGGTTTTGTGGAGTCGGTGCCCCTTTCTTGGTGGTGGTCGAGAACACGTGTTGCGGCATTTGCCTTGGGGAATCGAATCAGAAACCCAGGTCTTCTGAGATAGGTGGTGCGAAATGCACATCCACAGTACGGGTCTTTTTTTTTTTAATCGGTACTGTTTGGTGGTTTTGAAAGGAAGCCAAGCGGAAGGCTGCAAGTTTTGGGCCCCCCTACGAACACTGCACCCAAATAGAAATAAAAGCCCCCTACAAATGGTTGGTTTTCCTTTAGATTTTCACCAGGAGAAAGCTTTTGAGAAACACCCTCGTTCGAACCCCAATCTGTTTTCCCCAAATAGTTGAAACCTACGAGTGGTTCTTACTCCTAAAGAGGGGCAGGCTGTTTTGCGAGTTCGGGCCAGTTGGTCCTGTCAGGCTGTTTGGGGTGCGCTCGTCTTTGCTGGCAGCGCCGGTTTTGCGATGCAGTCAGGGTGTTGTGGGTGCTGGTCAGGGTGCTGGCCAAGGTGCTTTTCTCGAGGCGCTGTGCCAGTAGCGATCGGGAGCTCCAAACCACTTTGGGGAGTGGGGTGTTGGGGGTGGATGTTCTCCAACATGTTGACTTTGCAGCACCCAGCGCAGACACACGCACACACAAACACAAGCACACAAAAACCAAGAGCACAACAAGATAAAGACAAACACAAACACAAGTGCAACAAGACACCCGCAAACACCACGACACACAAGCACAAGCACAAACACACAAGCCTGAACACACACACACAAACACGACAAACACGCACACACACACACAAGCACGCAAGCACGCAAACACGCAACCGCACAAGCACGCAGATTCGCAACCGCACAAACACAAACGCACAACCACACAACCACACAAACACACAAACACACAACCACACAAACACACAAAGGCGCTCACACCAGCAGTGCACTCGCCGTCCGTACTCGGAACTTCTGCCGGGGCACGCGCCGGCCGTGCATTAGCGCACTTGCGCGCGCTGTCCGTGCACACATTGCTTGCCTTGCGCGGACAGAGGCACATGTGCGCGCGCACACACACACGCACACTTGAAAGTGCTCGTGATCCAATGACACTGACTGAGGGTGGCACTACGTGATGGGTTGGGTGATTTGGCGCACTTGCAAGACCAGTTTCTACACAGCTCTTCTCCCACTTATGAGGAGCAAGAAGCTCAGGAAGGCGATGTAAACGGCAGCCAAAAACAAGGCTGCGCGGCGACCGTGCCTGTGCATGCGTTACGCTCTACTGGAGAATGCAAAGAATGTGACACAAGTGCCGCAAGGTACAGTGCGTGGGACAATGCCCATGTTTGGCTTTGATCGTCGCGATGAAAGTGTCGCGGGGCTCCACGGTCTGTACTGGCACCGTGACCTTGTTTTGGCAACGCGCTTCATTCACACACACACACACATACGTATATTACATATACAAACACATACATACGCACACACACATACATACATATACATATAAATATACATGTACATGTACATGTACACATACATATACATATGCATATACACATACATAAACATATACATACACACATATATATATATATATACATACATATGCATATACATGTACATACATGCACATACATACATACATGCATACATGCATACATGCATACATGCATACATGCATACATGCATACATGCATACATGCATACATGCATACATGCATACATGCATACATGCATACATGCATACATGCATACATGCATACATACATACATACATACATACATACATACATACATACATACATACATACATACATACATACATACATACACACACACATACATACATACATACATACACACATACATACATACATACATACATACATACATACATACATACATACATACATACATACATACATACATACATACATACATACATACATACATACATACATACATACATACATACATACATACATACATACATACATACATACATACATACATATACACACACACATATCTACATACATATCTACAGGCATATGTATGTAGATATTACATTCATATGTAGAAGCAGCTTGAAGGACTGAGCGCGCTACTACGGCGCAATGAGAGGCTCCAAGTGTTTGGAGACCCACGTCATAGTACGCGGCACATCATTGGTCCCAGCTTTGGGACATGACATGCGGGATTTTGGCGGGCGCCACGTTCGATTTGCGGACTGTTGTCGTGCGCCTCCGCCTCCCCCCCCCCCGCCCCAGCAGAATCAATGATACTTAGAAAAGGACTAACAGGGGTTTGGGGCCCATGTTCAGGCTGGTGGTGAATTGCCTTTCAAATGATGCGCGTATACACGGCATAGCTATATATATAATTCTATTGATGAAAATTTATGGTAGGCCCTCTCAAGAAGCCATGCATATGCATGTACATATCTAGCGCTCTTCTCGGCCGTGAACAATCTGAATCAACAACAGTCCAAAAACAGACACATCTGAACACATCTGATTTTTTGGCCATCAACAGTTGTTCATGGCCAACAGTCAAAGTTCAACAAAGACAGAACACACAGCTTGGTATGGGTCAAAATCAAACCACCAGAAAAACCGTGCATATTTTTGACCCACAGCCATCTGAGCTTCGCAGGACGTCCGGGCGCGGCTGGCCGCGCTGCGCCGCGCGGCGGGCCCCGCGCGTGGCGCCGCGAGTGGCGGCCGCTCTTCGGCGGACTGGCCCCAGCGCCGTGCGGCCTACGAGGCGAGAGATCTACGGATGTGTCAGACTCAGGTGGTTGATGTTTGGGTGCGTCTTTTTGGGGGGTGCCAAGCTTTTTCTATTTTTGTGGGGTTTTAACGGAAGGCCAAAGGGAAAGCCTGTGTTCTTGGGGGGTCTCCCACAAAAAGACGCATCATATATCTCCAAAATGAATTATATATATATATATATACAAAATACGACACGCAAAGGAATCGCAGGGGGATATCTTTTCCGCTTGCGGGTCACCCAGGCCGAAGGCCAAGGTGACCTTAAGGAAAGTGATTGCTTCCTCCGAATCACACTGTGGATGGTTGCTAAATCCATTTCGCACCACTTTGAAACCATGGTTGAAACCACTATTTGTTGGTATTTAAGGGTTTCTTGGGTGGTGCGAAATGGATTTCGTCCACCCACAGTAGGTGTCCTTTTTGGTTGTTTTGCTAGAAAAATAGATGGCGATTCCTGGTTTACCTGGTGGTTTCATCATATGCCAGGGAAACCCATCTATTTCCCCTAAAAGGACACCTATGCTCCGAATAGTAAACACCTTGCTGGTGCGAGAACTAGGGAATGCGGTTGAATGAACCCAGGCTTTGGTCCGCTGAAAGGAAATCACCAGAGGTATGGTGTCAAAGGATCATTCGATTTCTCATTCCCTGCTGAGCGGGAAGTGCTGAGGTGTTAGTGGCACCCTCATCGCTCCGAGCCTAAGATCAACCCCCAAGGGTGGCTCAGAGATCGTCAGTTTCCTGTGGTTCCTTGGGGACAAGCAAGATCAGCCCTAACAAAAGCAAGCCGTAAGCAGCAATGGGTAAGACCCCTTTTCGATTTATCAAGGTCATTGTATCAAGTCGTATCTTGGTTTGCTTATCGGGTCCTTTTAGATTCCTCCCCATTGCGGTTTGCCCATCCTCTTTACGGAATGGAATTGTGTCATCTACTTTCACACCTAACTCCCCATGAACTCCGGCTCAGGTTTAGCTATGTGTCTTTTTTAGAAATCGGACTCCCCCCAAAATGGCGCAATGGTGTTCCTTTCGGTTTCCTGTTAGCACCAACTCCAAAAACGAGGGACACACCCACATGTGAAGCTTGAAGGTGACGAAGTTCAACAAGGATGGGATCCCAGTTGCTTCTAAGAAACTCCCAACTTCGAAGAAACTTTTGAGAATCTAAGAAACTCCCAACTTCTAAGAAACTTTTGAGAATGTAAGACACTCCCAACTTCTACCAAACTTTTGAGAATCTAAGAAACTCCCAACTTCTAAGACACTTTTGAGAATCTAACAAACTCCCAACTTCTAAGACACTTTTGAGAACCTAAGGCACTCCCAACTTCTACCAAGAAACTCCCAACTTCTATCAAACCTTTTCAACAATTGTAGGAATCTTTCAACTTCTAAGAAACCTTTTTAAACATTTAAGAAATTCCCAACTGCTACCAAGTTTTTTTTTTTTTTTTTTTTACAAATTAAGAATCTCCCAACTTCTAAGAAACTTTTTTCCAACTTCTACCAAACTTTTGAGAATCTAAGAAACTCCCAACTTCTAAGAAACCTGTTTAACCATTTCTGAATCTGCCAACTTGTAATAAGGTTAAACAAGATTTTTCCAACTTCTAAGAAGCTTTTTTTTTTTTTAACAATCTAAGAATCTCCCAACTTCTACCAAACTTTTGAGAATCTAAGAAACTCCCAACTTCTACCAACCTTTTGAGAATCTAAGAATCTCCCAACTTCTAAGAAACCTTTAAAACAAATTAAGACTCTTCCAACTTGTAAGAAATCTTTTTCACCATTTAAGAAACTCCCAAATTCTAAGACACTTTGATGAACATTTAAGAATCTCCCAACTTCTCAGAAGCATCAAAAAAAACAACAATAATAATAATGATTTCCCAAATTCTAAGAAACTTTTATTAGCAATTAAGAATCTCCCAACTTCTAAGAAACCTTTTTAAAAATTGAGAATCTCCCAAATTCTAAGAAGCTTTTATTAAAAATTAAGAATCTCCCAGCTTCTAGGATTTTTCCCAACTTCTAAGACACTTTTCTAGGAATCTAACTCCCAATTGAAGGCAGTTCCCCAAAAACCACCGACTCCAAAAGGCGACTCGCTCGCCCACGGGCCCAGGAGCGGCTCGCCCAGCTGCGCTTCGAGCTGGGCCGGGTGCCGGAGCGGGAGCTGGAGGTGCAGGAGGTGACGGAGCCGGCGCCTTGGACGCGCCGTGGGTTTCGTCTTTGGTTGGGAAGGGGCAACTCCATGGGCAATCCTTGTTCTTTTTTTTTGGGGGGGTGGCAAGCTTTTCCGTTTTCCTGTTCTTTCTTTTTTTTGGGGGGGAGGGGGGGATCATTTTTTTTTTGTGTGCAAACCATTTTTTGAGCAAGCCATTTTCGGGGGGGGGGGGGGATGGTGAGGAGGTTTGGGAAAGTTGGTTCCCCTTGTGAGGACTTGACAGGCTTTGGACACCACCAGGCAAAACGGCCGCCGACCCCAAAGGCCAGACTTCAGACGGGGGTTCTTGGAAGGTATTGAAAGAGAACCAAAGGAAAAGCCCGCAAAGCTGAGGGAACCATGTCCTCAATTTTATGAAGCATGGGTGCCCAAGTACCGTGGAGAACCATGTGCAACCAAGTGCCTGGTTTTCCGAAAGGTTGACCCCCCATTCTGTTCACCCATCGTTTGTGCGAAGCTACTTTGATTCACTAGGTGTTTGGCCATTTATGAAGAACGATCCTTGAACGGGCTTTGTTTGGCCATTTCCTGTTTGTTCTTCCTATGGTTGGTGTGCTTTGTCAGGTTGAGCCTGATTGCGAGTTGTGTGAGCTCTTTTCGCTTGTCTCCTTGAACACCCTCCTGACCTCGGTCCCCCTATTTTTGAGCGGTCCAAAGGCGGGGATTGGTGGAATTATCGATCCCTTGCTGAGGATCGCCAGAACGCAGCGGATCCCAATTTGGGCATGGGCCAAAACAAAGCCACCAGGAATTGGACCGAAGGTTCTAGTCCTTGTTTCCATCAGGGATCCATTCTGGCGTTATGTAGCCTATGTTCAATCCACACCCATTTGATTGGTCATTGCCAAACAAGCCCAAGATGAGTCCCGCTATGGCATATCAAACCGCCTTCTAAGAAAAGCGTTTTAGCCCGAAAGCATCATCGGCATGAAACAATTTCCATTCTCATCAGCCGCATGGATATAATTTATGAAATTAATGGAATCTTTGAGAAGTCCAATCTCTGAGTGACACAAAGCAGACGTGAGGTGTGTCAGAAACTCCAATGTGCCATGTTTTTTTGCCGGGGATCGTTTCAGGATGGTCCCAACCCCAACCTCATGCGGTTTTGGCAGCCGTTGCGATTTTTGGTTGGGTGTCTTTCATGTCTTACTTGGTGCGCGGGGAATGGGCAGGGGTTGCAGAGCTCACATGGGGAGTGGTCAACACTATGGACCCGGAAAGGGACCCTCGTGCCGCCGGTACGCCGCTTTTTTTGGTTGGGGGATGCAAAAAAAGCTGCCTCAGGTTTGACACAACCCCCCCCCCACATGTGGGATCCGATTGTTTTTCTTCTTCCCCCTGCGGACAACCAGCCCCAGGAAACATCAAGCCCCAGATGTGTCAAGGGCTTAAAACGACTGGGTGTGGCTCAAAATTAAACGATCGGAGGGGCCTTTGCCGCAGGTTTTGGTCCATGTTTTCCACTTACCGATCGGGTAGCCCATGGACTTTTCCGTTTTGAGCCACAGCCAAGTCCCTGGGCTTCGCAGGCGCCGGGCACTGACTATGCCCCCGCGCCGCTCCGGGAGCCCCAGGGCGCCAGCGAGGCTGAGGCGTGGCGCGCGCGAGCGGAGATGTTTCGAGGTCGAGCGGGTACGAAGCGCTGGGAAGCCCATGTGGCTGTGATTTTGTCAAAACCGTTAAACGGGATCCCAAATTTTGTTGGGATTGGTGAAATCACCCGCCATTTTAGAGCCTATTTCGTGGTTGGATTGGGATGTTCACTGGATGAATAAACCCGTCCCACTATTAAGGGGGGTGGGGATAGGACGTGCTGAAAACCCGGGTAGATGAAGCGCATAGCCACGTGGGTCAAAAGAACCGGTACTCAAAATGGAAGCTCGGCAAATGGAATCAGGGACCAAAACCTGCGGGTTTGCTGCTGGTTTGATTTTGTCCCACACCCCTTTGAGGCCACGTGCTCAAAACCCGGGTAGATGAAGGTTAGTAACGGGCAGTCCCAGCCAGAAATAGTTGCGGCCGCCTTTCAATTTCTTTACATGCCATTTTTATGCCAGGTTTTGATTGTGACTCATATGAATCAACCTCAGTACCCGAGTTTAGTATAAAGGGGTGGTTTGGCTCCTCCAAAAGTGGGGTCTGATTCCAACCACTAAACAGTTTTTAGTGTTTCGGCTTAGTGGATTTGTCTGGGTTTCCCACATTTCCCACATGCCCTACTTATCACACCGATCGCAAGGTAATGTTGTACCCATATTCTTCTACCCCGGTTTATTAATAGGGGGGTGGGGCCCGCTCCAAAAGTGGTCTGATTCCCTCTCCACTAAACCCAGGTTGACACTCCCTTATAAAATGAAATGGGGCTGATTCACAAGACAACATGAATGGGAACCCGGGGAAAGCAAAACCCCTGGTTGATTGATAGGGCCCCAAAAGGGGGAATCAGAGCACTTTTGGAGGGGAACACCCCCACCCCCTATTAATGAACAGGTTTATCAAAGCGGGGTCATTAGGCGTGCTCCTGTTTTGTCGGGGCCCTGCCCAATTCAAGGTCAGGCTTTAGTTTTCACTAACCAGCACTTTCGGCACCCCAAATAGGTGGGCCCCCAAACTGGTGGCTTCCATGAGTTCCCGTTAAACCATACCTTCAAAACAAGCACTAACGCTGGGATCAGAAAACGGACCGCCCAGGTAGCTCTCCTTTTAGTTTCCCAAAACACAACAGAAAGAGGCAACGCACCCACAACAAACCTGGCATCCTGGTGGGTAAATGGGAAAAACAAACAACAACAACCACGCGCAAAACCCCAAAACCACCACTTCGGCTGCGGCTTCGGCTCCAACCCCCGCCCCCCCCCCCCACCCACCTGCCACCCACCCCCGCCACCCCCCGCCCTCCTGGCTTCGACTCCCCCCCGCTGAGCGCTTCCCGCAGGCGCTGGTGGCGCTGCTTCAACGCCAGCGCCTCGGCGGCGCGGCCAACGCGCTGCGCCAGGCGCTGGGCGCCGCGGTGGAGCGCCTGGCCGTGGACCTCTACGCGCCTCGGAATTTCGGTTGTTCGGTTTCGCGCGCTCGGTTTCTGTCGGGTCCGGTCGGGTGATGGTGGTGGTGGGTTGGGTTGGGGGGAGGCCGGTTTTCCTGGAGGGCGAAGGTGAGGGCCGTTCTTTTTGTTCTTCTTGCTTTTAGGTGTATTTTTTGTGCGGTGGCGAAATGGGTTCTTTTTGACACTTTCTTTACTGTTGGCAAGTTTTTTGTTGTTGTTCTGTTCAGTTTTAGTAGGAGGGTTTGCGGAGGCTCCAGTTTTACTAACTGTCAGCTGGCGTTAAAACTGATTCCAGTTGTTTTGGAGTGCTGGTTTCCCAGTGGCCAAAATGGGCGTGGTCCCTTTATTTGAAAGTTGGTACTCCTTTTTAGATAGGCTTCAAAGGGAAGTCAAGAGGGAAACCACAAATTTTGAGGGGTCCTCGAAAAAAAAAACACCCGGATGGGTTCTTTGACATGGAATGTACGTCAAATTGAGAACATGCATTCTTCCCCTTGGTTGTTTTCGTTTGGTTCTTTGACATTTGTTGGTTCAACCAGCGAAGCCGGATTCCCCTCGAGAGCGCGGTTGGAAGTCCCCAAAAATGGAAACAGCGTCTCGCGGCTTTGAGATTCATGAGAGCCTAGGCGGTTCTGTTTGGTGAAGGGGTGGTGAAGTGGGCATGAATAGAAGATTTGGGTGCAGCCTGTTGGGCTTTCTCCAAGGATATCCAAATCAAGGCCCCCATCGCCCAGATTTCCCCAGAATGAGTTTGGCGGGCGGCAACGCGGTGCCAGGGTCTGGTGCTGGCCTTGGCTTGTGGCCTCTCACCCCAAAAAACTTCCGATCCCGGTTCAGTGGTGGCATTTTGTTCTTGGAAGGGAATGCCCTGGATGAATCGCCCGGCGAACTGCAGATGAATGGGAGCAGCCAGCCGGCTGGTGCAAAGCGCCAGAATTGAACTGGCCGGTCGACACCAATGGGAGCCCATTTTGGGGTAGGTGCACCACCCATTTTGGTCTATTACAGTGGGGATTGGGATGTTATTGGGGGTACAGGATTTTTACCCATGGGCCAACTGGCCCAGTTCGGCATCACAAGGTATTTTTCCACACGTGATTTCGGCCTGGGCAGAGCGCTCACATCTGCCAGCGAGGATTTTGGATGCTTCAGGGTTCGTGGTGAAGCGTGACACCAAATTCGGTGTTTCCTGAAATTGGGTGGCTCACCCTTTTGCTGGGTGGTTGGAAGGCGAATGAAGGTGGAAAAGGGCAAGCCAAGCATGCAATGTTGAAAGATCTCATCATGGTGTGGGAAAGATCTCATCTGCGTAGGTTTCTTATCCCCCGTTGTGAAACAACATGGGGGAACATTTGTCGAGCTCCCAAGGAAATGGAGAGCCACTTCGTTTACGACGCTTGGCTGTGCGAAGGGACATGTCATGGGGCGGTGCCCGGCACCGTGGAAACTCCAGATGTTGATGGAGAAAACCGAAGAGTGCATCCTCTCTCCTGTCGTGTGGGAAGTTTGCTTGCCGGCCCCCAATCTCGTTTGGGCAGAGGAGCAGCAAACGCATATATGTGCCACGGTCAAAACACCCCTTTGCTTGGGGTTGGTGGGAATAGGCATCAACGCCTTATGCATTAGGGAACTTAGACAACCGGTGTACAGGTACTCTTTGGTGCATTTTTGTTGCTTGGATGTTAGGACTTGAGCTTTTTGCCAACTCATGGGTTTTCCATGAAACCACTAAAAGTTATTCACTTTTAGTGGGGGAGCAGAAAGCAGCCGAGTGTTACTTGCTTGTGTTACAGGTGCTGGTGAAGCCTCTGTAACCAGATAGGGACGTTTGACCAGGAGCTGGTGCAGAACGCGGATGACAACCGCTACGGCGATGTCTCGCCCTGGCTACGGCTGGAGCTGTGCCAGGACGAGGGCGCCAGCTTCTTCTTCTCGGCACCCTGGCCGCGAAAACCGGGGGCTTGCTATACCAACTCTCGTCTTGGGTACTGGGCGCTAAATAGCACATACTTTTTGGTTTCACCTGGGGTTCCACATGGGGGGTGGATTATTTGCAAACTGTCCAGAACCAACTGTTGAGGACACAGAGAAGCTTCCTTTGGGTGGGAGGATGTTTGAAGGGACATGTCAGGAATGCCCACAGATTGCTTGCCCGCCCGCTCGGCACAGCAGTGGGAGAAAGATACATCAAAGAAGGGCGCCTTGATTGCACTCGCATTCTGTGCTGTGCGCATCCAACTCTTGGAGCGGTTGCGGACCCAATCGCTGCGTTACGCACACGATGTTTGACCTGGAGTGGATTGCTGACCTAAGGCACTCTTTTGCTTGACAGGGTTTTGTGCGTGGCAGGCAGGCAACAAAATAACATGGCAAATGACGTGCCAGGTCAACAACGAGGTCGGTCTTAGCGCGCAGGACCGCTGGCTCCAACCCTGACATTTTTGAGTCTGTGGTTTTTGCCTTTTTTGAGGGTGCCCTGTTGGGGTGGCTTTAAAGGGAGACCACAAGGACACCCCGAGATTCCCTCTTTTGACTGACACACCCCTGCCTTTACCCACTTGGGTTGAGCGACTCGTGAGGGCTGGCCAGCCTGAGTCACAGCCCCCAGCAGCAAATGCTGGTTGGTTGCTTTCGATGTTTGCGCCGTTCCATGGAGTGATTGGTACCGGAAGGTTTCAAACCCCCCTCCACCCGGACAAGGGTTTCACCTCGTGAAACAGAGCCCTAAGGAGAAGTTGGGACCAGAAAAGCAAGATCCCTTTTCCCAGCTTAGAGCATTTGGCTTGCACAGTCGGTGGTTTCGGATGTACCCTTCCACCCAACATTGAGCCTGAACCGTTTCCTGGACAAAAAGCAGCTCTAATGTCGACCTTGGATCAATAGCCTCTGGTTGATGAATCGGGGTGTCCTTTTTTTTTTGGTGGGTGTCCATCATCTTTGGAGGGCCCCCGCCCCAATGTATTGACCCTCACTTCCACTAGCATGGCACCGGCTCGCTCCAGAGGACATGTTTCTTCTAGGCTCGCCCCAGGTGCTGTCGGGAGAAGGTTCCAGAACCAGGGATCAACCGTGGCTTCATTTACGTTCCAGTTGCTCTGGTGCTGTGGGACGGAATCCTGCACCATCCAAGGAACACAGGAAAGATGATTCTCCAGGAAAAACCAATGCACAAAGGTTGCAACCATGGTTTCAAAGTGATGCGACATGGATTTTGGTCCATCCACAGTTGGGAGGGTAGGACCTCGATCCGGGGCGTCCAGTGGTTTAGGACTCCGCGTTTGACGCCCAGCGCCAGGACCTGCGTGCGCTCTGCGACGTGAACGCCAGCTCGAAGAAGGGCCAGAAGGGCGTCACCGGGCACAAGGGCATCGGCTGGAAGAGCTGCTTCCAGGCGCGCAGAGTCCTTTTTTTTTTCCCCGCCCGGAGAGGGAGCACACCCGATCCCCCTCTGTGACCGGTGGTTTGGTTATTTTGAGGGGTACCAAATCTTCAGGGTTTCGGAAGTTGGGGTTGCAATCCAAACCATGCACCAATCCAACACTCCAAACTAGGGGGTACTTGAGGAGCTGGGTGCTGGGACCATGATTTTCATGGTGCTGTTGGATGTGAATGTGTGTTTGTTTTCAAGTAGAATGCTTCAAATACCTCCCATACTGATATTTAACATGTCTTTTTTTGCATCCATGCACCATGGATCAGCTTTTGTTGCGGCGCTTCTCATGGCACTTCATCATGGGCTTGCAATGTGCCCAAAACTCCAACCTCCTTGCTGCACTTGCTGCACGTCTTGGTTGCTTGCGGCCTGTTCCTTTAGCACGATCGCACAGGGCAGCCTTTTGGGGGACCGGTGGCCCTGCGGAATTCAGGTCTCGGATTGCCCGTATATGCTGTCCGGCTGCTTCACCATCAAGTTCGACCTTGCGGCGCACGGGAAGATGGGCTTTGTGACACCCAGCTGGGTGGATGACAAGGACTGGTACCGGGCGATGGGTCCCACGGTAAGCGGTTGATATCCCCGAATAAGTCCCCTAAGTGGGGTATATGTAGGGTTAAACCCACCTAGAGAACTTTGTTCGCTTGGGATATTGAACTCTTTCTACATGAGGTGATCATTCATATTTCTTCATTGGGAGGTGAGTTTATCCGACACCAAAAAGGTTCGGGCTTGAAATCCATTGAAAAACCAGAGCTTGGGATTTCGGAGCATTGCAGGTCTCAAGCTTCGCATTGCAAGGAGCTTGCATCGTTGCCCGCTGCGGTGCAAGACGCCTACTACGCTGGGAACACGGTGACGTACCTGCCGCTCAGGCGGGGGTGCGGGATTTGCATTGATTTAACCACCCGAGCGACTGTTGGTAGCGGTTGTACCAGGTACTTTGCCGGAGGGTATCTGGGAACAAGCGGAATGGGCGGTGCCGCAAGCCAATTGATGAAGGCGAAATGTGTATATCGCTTTGCAGCTTGAGTTGGGGGCCGAAAGGGACTGGCTATGGATGACACAATGGACAGATCCAAATCGAAGCACAACACGTTGTTACATTTGATAGGTAACATTGGACTTGAGAGTCTTTGGCTTACGTGCACCATTCGCAATGCAATTCATTAATCTACAGGTCCATATCACCGTGTGCCACGTCCGGCAATGCTTCGGAACAAAATCAGGCATCCATGCGAAAAACGCAATCTTTCTTTAATTTTCCGTGACTCACTGGCTGAGTACTGCTCCTTCCTCGCCATCGTGTCCCGTTTGGAGAGCCTTTTGGGTAGCTTTCGCCGCAAACATCTCTTTGAAATGAAAACCCACGGTCTGCTTTCGGAGACAAGCCTTCTGGGCATGCTTCTTTTGTTGTTTCGCAACATATTTTTTTTTTGAGATGCACCACACATCCATCACGGCTTCTTTGATTCTTTTTTTTTTTGGGGGGGGGGCAGGGGGCGCAGGCAGGCAGCGGTTTTTTGCTTCTTCGGGGCGCAGGGCAGGGGCAGTCTCGTTTGGCATTTCTCCGGGGCCCGGGCGTCGATTTTGGTTTCTCAGGAGCGGCGCAGAGGCGGGCGTGGAGCTGGCCCTGGCGGATCTGGAGGATTTATTTCTTTCGGCTGGGAGCGTCGGGGGGGTGGCCTCCGTGGGGTGCCTGTGGCAGAGAAAAGAAGCGGGTGGCATGGGCTCTTTGGTGTCCTTTTTGGTGGTTTTGCTAGGGAAAAAAGGCATGGGAGTGTCCTTTTGGTGATTTTTATTGGCAAAGACCAACTTAGTTTGGACTCTTGAATGGCCATCTTTGGCAATTTTTAGTGGCAAAATGCCCACTTTGGTGGTTTTGCTAGGGACAAAAATAGATTGGGCGATTCCTGGTTTACCTGGTGGTTGCATCATCTACCTGGTGGCGGAGGGGTGGTCAAAAACATGGGTACCCCAGATGGCTTGCCCTAATAAATGGAAACCTGCGGTTTTCTGGTGGCTGAATTTTGACCCGCACCCAATAGGGTTTCTTGTGTCAACGAGAAGCGGGGCATTTGTGGTCGACCCTTTGCTTTTTCCCCAAGAAGGTGGGGGGTGGCAGGGGGATCGTGGCGGACAACGGGCGGATTTCTTGTTGTCAAAGCTTGGCTTTGAGACCTTTCTGTTGGGGTGGTTTTATTGGGGGTAGGGATTGGGTTTATGCTTTCCAGAATCGGTGTTTAGGTCGAAGCGCTCCAAGGGAGTGTCTTTCATGGGACGGTTTTGGCTCGGTTCAGGCAGGGAATGGGCAGGAAATGACCCCGAGAAAAGTATCCTTTATGGTTTCCAGAGAGAATCCCCAAAACCGGCTCATTCCCAAGACCCTTCTGTGTTTTTCGTAAAATGGAGGAGTCGGAGAACACCAACAGCGAACCAAACACAAAAGAAGCCAACACAAACACAAACAAACACGGATAAATAGACACAAACAAACGCAACAGCAACTCCTTCCATCCGTTTTTTTTTCTTCTTCCATTCCCGAAGCGGATTTCTCGTCCAGCGGATTTCTCGTCCAGCGGATTTCTCGATTCCAGTCTCCTAGCTGTTGGATCCGGCCGCCTTTCCGGAGCTAGCAGGAGTTCGATAAGGACATGGCAGGATTTTTTGACTGTCATGTTCTTCCGCAAGTTTCTGTTCAACTATCGGGAGACTTGCAACTGAGCCACTGCTTGAACATCGCCCGTCTTTGTGAGGGTTTGAATCCGTCCTAAAGAAAGCCGTGCCTGAAACTGGGAGAACAACCCAAGTTGGGCCTCTCTCGCTCTCACAGAAGGTCCTGGTGCTGATTTCACATGCACTCTCAACCCACCAAGTGGTTTTGCAGTTACATCCGTTGTTGCTAGCGCCACCTCGTCATGTTTTGCAGCCGCATCTGTGACTTGCAGCCTTGAAGCAGACGACGCACCCGAACGCTATCGGCGCCAGGAGAGCCGGCCCTGCCTACTCTTCCTACGGCGGCTCAGGCATTTGGAGTTGCACTCTTCCAAGCGCCGGGTTTCCCTGGACTGCGAGGAGAGAGCGGGTGCAGTGTTTGGGTGTTTGGGGATGAGTAGGCAAAAGTGCGGGAATAGATATACAATACATACATTTGTGTGTATACATAGACCAATGCGTATATAATACTAGTATAATGGCTACCAAAGACTTTGCGAGTTTGTACATCGGGTGTTGAAGTCTTTGCGCATGCCCCTTCCCTATTTCTTGGAGGCTGCCGAAACGGAGTCCTCGGCATGGCCAGCATGGGACCATTGTTGCGCTCAAACTGTTTCGGGTGGCCGCAGGTTTGAATGTCCTTTCCATTTACCGATGGGGCAAGCTACTTTGGGGTTACCCTATTTTTGACCGCCACACCCATTTCACTCACCGTTTTCAGGGGACAACTGCTAGGTTAGATCTTCGGCCAGCTGCGAACAGCTTTGCGACCCATTCTGGCAGCCTTTCTGCAGGGGGTGGCTGGCTTGCATTTCGGAGACATACCGAGTTCACTTGGGGGGTAGAATGAATGCTCTCAAGGAGGAGGGCCCTCACCATCAAGCAGTTCTCCTGCGCGACGACGAAGGCGGAGTTGACCTGCATCTTCTCGCTTTGGGCTTGAGGGGTGATGTACAGAGCGTCCTCAGAGCCAAACCACGAGCGATGCTGGGCGTTTCGTAGATCAGGGGGGCTGGGGAGTCCCCCCCCCCGCTCCCTCTCTCCCCCCCAGCCCTCTATGAGTAGAGGGTGTTTTTTTTTCTCTTTCCGGGGAGTTATCCCCCCCCCCCGCCCTCCTTCCTACCTCCCATGATAAAAGGGTGGCTGTTTCTTGTTCGCTTTGCATGCCCACACGGATCCCTTGGCAGGTGTTGAGCGCAGATGCTTCTTGGTGTATCGGCACAATGTTCGGCTGGAGCAGAAGGAGGTGTGCCTCACTCTGGCGTTCCCCAAGCAGGATGCATGCCTTGTCGGGTGACGAAAGCAGCGGACATCTGGCCAAGATGCGGAGGTTTCCGAAACTTGCGGGGCCGCACAAAAATTGCCAGCAACCAAGGTTCCTTGTTGGTTTCGCTTAAAACGCCCGCCAAAAGGGGTGGGACATTCCACTGATGAGGGAGCCAAGCAGCGCGAAGCCTTGAAGCGCGCAGGAGGACCCGGGGAAGCTGCCGCCGCAGGCATCGCCGTTCTCGTCTGGCTGGTGGTCCGGATCTGGGAGTGTCTCTTTTTAAGGTTGGACCCCCAAAACCTACTGTGGATGGACAAAATCCTGCATCACTTTGAAACCATGGGAAACCATTCTTTGTTGGTATTTACAGAGGAATCATCATTTTGGGGTTTCTTAGGTGGTGTGAAATGGATTTCGCAACCACCCACAGTATGGTTTTCCTTTCGGTCTCCACTCATAGCCAGCCAAAAAGGGTGTTCCCTAAAACAGACACACCCCTTATTCTGGTGAGGATCAGACCTGATGAGCTTGTTAAGGGACCAAGATGGTGTGTGGCATGGATGGAATAGCGTTCCTTTGGACAAGACCTCAGCGATGTTTTGTGTTGTTTCACATCTTGAAACAAGAAGTCTTGTAGCCCTTCCTTTGCAGTCCTTTGTCTTTTGTGGATCAAGGTATTTCTTCCAGCAATTTCGTGGTTCCCCATTGCTATCTCCATTGGGGATTTTTTGGCACCCAAAACGCACCGCAAGATTTTTCCCAAATGGCCCGAGTTGCAGCAGCATTGGGACCTACCAGTAATTGTGGATGCTTCTTTCTCGCGGATTTCACCTGCTCTTCCCTCTGTGCAGGTTCGTTTTGTTGCTCTTCCAGGGGTGGATCCGTCACAAAAAAGCCGCGAACTTCCGCGCCGTGTCCCCCTTTCGCCTCCCCTCGGAGGAACAGCCGCGAACTTCCGCACCGTTTCCCCGAGCCTCCGTCACCGTTTCGCGCCGGAGGCACTCTACTGCACGCTGCCAGTGCGGAAGCTGAGCTTCGGGTTCTGCGTGGAGGGGCCCTTTGAGCTGGTGGCCAGCCGCGGGGATATCCACGAGGGCAGCCGTGTGAACCAGGCGCCACCGGCCGGCCACCCGCTTCCGGGCTGGGCTTTTGGGGGGATAGGAGGATCGAGGGGTCCGAGGGGTCCGAGGGGTCCGACGGTCAGGCAGGTGTTGGGTGCGATGGATGAGAGGGGTCCTAGGTCAGGTGAATAAAATGGTCATTCCTGGACTTTTTCTGGATCTTCCTGGACTTTCAGCTGGCAGCTATGTCCAGGCATTGTTGTCTTGGATGGCCACACTTCCATCAAGCATTTCGGTTGAGTCGTCCCCTTACCCCAGAGCTCAGTCGCCCAAAGCGAATCGACCTTGTGACTTCTTCGGTGTCCATTTTCGGTCCATTTGTAGGCATGGCCACAAAAGGTGATCCCCTTTGACTTCATGGAGCCACATTTGCTGCCCAGCTAAGTGCAAGTGAGGTTCTCCTGCATACATTTGTTGTTTTCGAGGGAATGACCTGGGGCACGCTCACCAAAACACCAGTAAATGGAAGCCTCCGAAGACCTGTGAAGGGAAGCATCGGATGCTTCCCTTTGGCTTCCATTGGAAAAAAGTCAAAAAATGTCGAAGCTATGTCGAAGCATTCCCACTGGACTGCCAAGGCAGCCCGAAACCACCCTGCCATTTTCATGCTGCACTTCTGCACTTCTGGATGGTGTTTTGCGGGGCACTTAAAAGTTCCTCTTCGGGACTCCTTGGGCCTCGCCATTTGGGTCTCCAGCCGCTGAAAAAGTCTGAGGAAGGCGCCTCTGGGATAAGGGGGAGTCAATGGAATGAACCAAGCCGTGGCTGAGATTCGCGCAGGCGCTGTGCCGAGCCCTGCCCGGCGCCTTTGCCGGTGCGCTGGAGATGTCTCTTGGCCGGATTTTGGTCGAAAGAGTCAGAGCTTTGCTTAGACGGAGTTGAAATGGACGGTTTTGGTGAGTTGCGAGTCGGTTTCCTTTTGGGTTACCCTTCCCACGAACAGAAGGCACCGAAAGATCAAGCTTCTCGGGTGCCATGGCAGCGTGCGAGCGGGGCACTCTCCGCCTCTCTTTCTCCTTCTCCCTTTCCTCGGCTCCAGAAGGCCAGCCTCAACGGCTTTGAGACCAAAAAAGAGGGTAGTTTCTAGGGGTTGATTCCTTTTCCATTCTTTCCAACCATCGTTCTTTTCAAGAACCGATCGCTGTTTTTGTGGGTTTTTGATGGTTTCCTGAAAAGAAGGATCCCTGGAAAGAATGGGGAAGGTAGCCCTAGATATTTGAGAAACTCCCCACGTGTGACGTGTGGTTAGAAAGGGAAGGAAACAGTCAAGAGCGGGAGGATTCTTCGCACACAGTTGCACATCACTGGTCATCCCGCCCTGTTTGGTCAGCGTTTCACAGATGTGTTCCTTATTTGGGGCTGACATGTCCTGAGGCATGACGGCACTTGCGTGAACCAACTCACCCTAAGCCCAACCCAGCCTAAGCCAACAATTCTGCGGGGACTCGGCAAGCGCAACTGGTGCAACACTCTCAGAGGCAATTGGGATATCCCGCTTGACACATGGGTGAGTCTTTTCTTTTTTGGAGTTGGCTTTAAAGGGATACCACAAGGAACCCCGTTGCGCCATGTTGAAAGACGTCTTTAAGAAGACACAGGCACCCCTGAAGGGTGTTTCTCATTCCGGGTGTCTTTGGAGGGTGCCAGAACCTTTATGGTTCACCCCAAAAATTGATGCTCCAGGCACCCGGACCTGCAGCAGCGCGCCTTGGCCTTCCTCGGCCTGGCGCCGGCGTCGCCCTTCTGGCGCGTGGTGCACAGCAGCCGTTTGGCCGGATCTGGCGCGCGTTGAATGGCAGAGTGTCTACTTTTGGGGAGGTCTCCTTGGACACCAATAGGGGATGTAACCACCCACCCACCAACCAAGCGACCAGTTGAGCCATGTGCTCAAAACCCGGGTAGATGAAGGTTAGTATGGGACAATCCCAACCATAAACAGCTGCGGATTTCCGCCTTCTTGATTCTTTGCTTGGTGCTGAGTCAACCATCTGAATACCGGGTTTTGATTGCGACTCACTTGGGGCCCGTTCCCCACTTCACCTTTCCCAGGGTTTTTGTATTACACCCTGGGAATACACCCACTGGGTATTCACCCCATTTAGGCACATTTCCGGATAAAACCGTGTTATTTTGAACCATTCTGGGTCATTTCCCAAGGGTGTAATACAAACACCCTCAGAACCTTGGCGATTCGAGGCACCCACTCCGCCCTCCGCCCTCCGCCAACGAGGCCTCTCGGAGCAGCTGCAGGGCACCGCCTGCGTGCCGCTGGAGGACGGAGTTGGTTGCAGCGGCTTGCGGGTGTTGGGACGAGTGGAAACCCCGGCTGGTTTGCCTTTATATGGCTGTGGCTCAAAAAACCGGTACCAAAATGGGTTGCCCTGGTAAGTGGAAACATGGACCAAAACCTGCGTAACCCCTCCTGCTTAATTTTGAACCTGTTCTAAAAACACCCTTCTCAGATTGACGTTAAGGGATGTGAAGGAACTTGTTGGTCAAAGCGCCCACGTCACAAGAGAAAGCCGTAAGAGACTCGCCCGGATCGAGCAAAGTGGGGCAGCTCGCAAAGCAGTGAGAGAAGGTTTGCCATTTAAATAGGGACACTATCCCCTTTTAGCCCAGCAGGGTGAGCCATCCTGGTCCCATGATGAATCTCCAAAGTTGTAAGCCAAATCCTTGAGACCATGATTCCAGCTGAGCACACAAGCCCAGTCCATCTGAGGTGGGTGTGCCGTTTTCGGGGTACCCTCATACCCCCCGTTTCAGTAGGTCTGTTTAAGCTCAATCTGTACCCGTGAACTGGAGTCAGCAGAATAGAGTCCCTCCTTTGTTATGGGATATGGCCGTGGCTCAAAAAATCCGGGAAAAATCCAAAATGGGTTGCCCTGGTAAGTGGAAACATGGACCAAAACCTGCGTAACCCTAGCTCTTTAATTTTGAGCCACTGCCATGTGTGGGTGACCTGGGTGTCTTCCTCTTGAGGAGCCCTTCTTTTTGGGGGTTGCCTTGGCGGACAACACTCCGCACCTACATGACCTCCAAAGGGTCTCTAGTGAAGATTCATGGCCATGATGTGGATGGAGAAAATCCTGCACCACCTCAGAAACCCTGGAATGATTCGATTCCTCCTGCAAAAACCGCAACAAACGTTATGGTTTCCATCCTGCTGGGACGTCACTTGGCAACCGATCTCGGCTCGGAGCCTAAGCCCCTATTTTGGGAGCCACAGAAAAAGGTCAGTTCTGTCTGGGTTCTATTTAGCAAGCGAAAAAGAGTCTGTAAAAGGCATGTCTTATTCAAAGGCCGAAAGGGCCGATCCCCTCACCGAGCTGTTTGGCGGAGTTCGATTTCAAGCGTGCACAGCAGCTTCTGCTTTCATGGGCCCCCCGAGTCGATAGGACGGCGGCCTGGAGCGGCCTGAGAACTGCCTGCTGCGGCCCAGTGGAGGCGCGCATTTTCATGGCTCCCGAACCAAACCGATTGAGGTTTTGTATCACTGGGTGGCTCGTCTTCTGTTAGGACCAATCCCCCCCAAAATGGCACAATGGTTGGACCCCCCCAATATATATATATATATATATATATCTCAACACGTTTTGCTTTCCCTCTTTTTGTGTTTACAAAAAACGACCCACAAAAGGGATCTCGAAGAAGACATGACCATATTCTCTGATCTTGGATTCTAGGACGTATCTTGGCTTATTCTTTACGAAGTGTTCTCATTTAGCTGCCGAACCGAGGATCGGGCTGGTGCCTTTCTAGGTTTCATTCGATTGCAGAGGTTGCAAACGGGAAAAAGCCACAGCAAACGCCACGATACCTTAGCATCCGATGATGCCCCTTAACCAAGGAGTTTCAAACCAGAACTGTAGGTTCGACCAGACGTATTCCCAGGACTGGTCCCAGTGTTGGGAATGGATAGGCATGTCATGAAAGAAAACAAAGCTCCATTGCAGACCAAAAATCAGGGCTGATCCAAAACCGATGCTGCTGGATGACGGCGCATGAGTTGTTTCTTGGGCCATTCGCAGCCACGGGAAGGAAGAACATCACTGTTAGACACTGTTTTTCTGGGCCCGAAATCTGTTTCCTGCCCCCCACCCGTCCCCAGATCCGCAATTAAGACTCCGGCTCATGTGCTGCCCACGATGCTTGCCAGGTTTCCAGGGCCTTAGCAAGCTGCCATATTCCCATCCTAGCAACCGGGTTTCTTCAAATCGATACCCTCTTTTCAACAATCATGGAGGTGTGGTTTGGGTCCCCCGAAAGGACAGCAGTCCAAACTTGCATCAGCTTCCGCGATTGGACTTCTCAGCTATCCTCCCTCCAACATCGCATCTGTGGGAGGGTTGGATGATTTTCCTCTTGGGGGTACTTTGTGTCAGTTGCCGCGGGAGGCAGGCACTCCCTTAAACACTAACATGGAAGCTGCCACAAGTGGCCTCTGTAACTTCCACTTCAAGTCTTCCATTTCGAGGTCTTTTCCATGGAGCTTCCCTGGAATTGCCTGAGGCTCATCTCGGGCAAGGGCACCCCTCACCCCCAAACCCCAAACCCCAAACCCTCCAGCCCTCAGCCCTCGGGCCCAAACCCTAAGCAGCGAAACGCCCCAGAGCCCTCAGCCCGCGAAACCGGGCCACGCGCGACCGCCTTCGGAGGCAGCGCCCTGGAGGCGGCGCGGCTTCTGCCGCCCGCGCTGCTGTGGCTCGGCTGCCGGCGCCGCCTGGCGGCGCCCAACTCCGGGGCCCACGGACTGGAGGAGTGCAGTCCGGTGAAGCGTCCGCGGGCGGAGTCGCCCTTCTCCGCTTTTTCTTTTTTGATTTTTAAGGGAAAACATGGTATTTACTTCAGCAAGTAAAGTAAATTACACATGATGGGGGAGGTTATGTTATTTTTTTCGGGGGGAAAGCATCGCAAGTAAAGCAATGAGGAAGGATGGGAGGGAGCTTTTTTTTTTTTTCTGTTTCAAACTTTCGCAAATCAAGCAGCCACAAGCCATCAGGGAATTTTTAGATGGGTTTTGAAGTTGTTCACTGGCAAACTGGCAGGGCCATCCACAACATGTGCCCGCGAATGATCTGGATGTGCATTCCCCCAAGTCAGTGGTTTCATATCTCCAGCGAACGAGCCCCCAAAGGTAGGATGCACCCTAAATATGTATACAATGAATACATATACGCATACATATATATATATATATAGGCATATTTATGTCAGCATATTTGCACAATCCACTTCGGATTGCTTTTTGGGTGGTCATCCAAGTGAAGAAGTTGTGGACCAGAAGGTGCAACCTGAGTTCAGCTTTCTGAGCTTTCTGAGCTTTCTGAACTGAAAGGTTGTTCCACTCCGAAAGATTTAGGTTTCTTTTGGGAACTGGGAACTTGCAAAAGTTTGCCAAGCCCTCCGCCCTGATTTCAGCCCCTTTCCCCTTGAAACTGGCGAATGGCCGGTCAAGCGGTCGGTAGGGTGGGGCCACCCATTGGTTTAGACATGTTTGAACCATCGGTTATGAGTCATGATGATGATTTCTTGTGAAGGTGGTGTTTAAACCATATTTTGCCCCACCCTGCCGGTCGGTCAAGTTTGGTCGGGGGAATTCGCGAGGAGCTGGGGTTCCAACACTGGCTGCAGATTCTGCGGCACCGAGATGAAGGTTGGCCCCAGGGCCTCTTGGGCAGCTGGCTGGAGAAGGAGGAGCGAGCAAGAGAACCAGTGCTCGGCCAGTTGAAGCCTGTGCTGCAGCAAGTGAGCAACAAAGCGCAAGAAGACACACATATATATATATATACATACACGTATTTGTACCATTGTGGTGAGTAAGTACAGTGAGCAAGCGAGCAAGCGAGCAAGCGAGCAAGCGAGCAAGCGAGCAAGTGAGCAAGTGAGCAAGTGAGCAAGTGAGCAAGTGAGCAAGAGCAGTGGCAAGTTTCACAAGGCAAATGGGACATGACATGCGGCTTGTGCTGCGAGGGGCGGGGGGGGGGGGGGTTTGGTTGGGATGCAGAGGAATTCCAGGCGTTCAAGGTGTTCTTCGCCTACCTGGGAGAGGTTCTGAGCTCGGCGGAGGATCCGGCCGAGGCGTGTGGCATTTCATTTCTGGTCTGACATGGGAGAAAGCGAGGGAAAGAAAGAAAGAAAGAAGGAAGGAAGGAAGGAAGAAAGAAGGAAAGAAAGAAAGAAAGAAAGAAAGAAAGAAAGAAAAGAGAGAAAAGAGAGAGAGAGAGAGAGAGAGAGAGAGAGAGAGAGAGAAAGAGAGACAGAGGGAGAGAGGGAGAAGGGTAGAGAGCATGCTGGTCTTGCCGGGCCAGGGAAAACTCCTTGTGAAAGAAAGAAAAGGTGGGCCAAACCGCATGAGGGGATGAGGCGGCGTCATGAACAGCATCAGGTGCTGCAGCAGCTGTGGGCCGTCGAGCTGCTGCCAGCAGATTGCAAGGAGCAACTCGTGTGGCATGGCAGCGGGCATCTTATCCCTGGAGCACAGGGAACACAGCCGGTTTCTTGCATTGGGACTTGGAACCTGTTCCGCTGGGATGATTCATCCATTTACCCCGTTGATTCAGCTGGTCGTGCAAGGAGCGGCGCCTCTTC